ATGGGAATATCAGTCCAAAAAATACACATTTTTCAATTAACACAGACCCCTCACCCCCACCCCCCATCCACAAACCGAGTCAACATGTCAAATCCAATAAAATATTCAACGTACACAGATTGTCACCTCACATACAAAAGAAAATGGACACATAACCATAAAATTCAATGAAATCGACAATTTTATTTGTGCACCAAATCGAAGATTTTTAGGGCCATGTAAAGTTTTCAAGGCTGTGAGCATCTTTATTTGTACATTATCTTTACGGAAATATTTTCGAAAATCTGCCCATTGGTGCATGTGTGGCTGTTGACGAGTTTTTAATGAGTTGAGCATTTGTTCATTGAAATGAGCCGGAGGGGGGATTTAGAACTTGTCAGTGGGATGGCATCATATAAAATATGTAATATATATTTAGAGTTTTAGCAGCAGGCGGGTGGCTAAGAGCGTTTAGATTTTAAATCAAGTTTCTACAGGTTTGGCACGTGGCACTAATTTGAAAACAAGACAGTTCGGGATCGCGTGGTCACTTTTACTCAAGAATTGTTGCTGTTGAAATAATGCGCCACAGGCTTTGGGTGTTTTCTGTCTAAATACGAGGCGCTTGGCATTAGTTTGGATAGATGCAGGGTACCATTTATGCATTGAAGTCAACATCGAAAATCAACATATACAAGCTGTGGTCAACGAAGAAAAAAAATAAAGCCTTCCGCAAAATAATATTTCTTTTGAAATTAGTGAACCGGTTTTTGATGAACATAAGGTATAATGCCAAGATAGATTAAAACACGTTTGTGAAGGCGTATTTAGTCTATTAGCTCTTTTCATTAAAAACATATAGGGAATACAGTATAAAAACTGATAGGGTCACTTAAATTATATAAGTAATCATTTCAATTAAACTTAAAAACCAGAGATATTTGATCGGGTGCATGGAGCTTATTGGTTCGATACGAAATAACAATGTATTAAATTGATGAGCGACTTGTGCGTTTCGTTTGGGACCCTCTTTACGACTAGCCGAACAATTCAAGCATTTGTGAAGAAAAGATTCTCAAAAATTATCAACCGAAGAGTGATGACAAAGCTCGGGTGACGGGAGCAATAACGATGGGTAAAATTGAAACGCCACATTCCGTTCAGATAATAAAATATATCCCAGTACGTTTGAAAAATAATAGCGAAAAAGTCCTGCCTGCATAGTGTTTAGAGGGTTTATAAATGACTGGGGCAATAATTAAGCAAAAAGTACGCGATTATATGAAATTTAACATGATTCCTCCAGATGACCAACTACACTCTATCGAATCGAGAACATCGGCCGATTCTTTGCCACTTGACCATGAAACGCCCACAAGTTTCCTTTGTAACTTTTATCTTAGCAATTCGAGATTTGTGGTGTGACTGAAATTCGGTCCCGATGAAAAATCATAGGTAAAGTTACGTTACATTCGCTTCTACTGATTTCACCGAGATATGTTTCGTTTTGGCGTTTGTATATCATATCCGCAGTTATCTTCACACTGCCAAGTTACTACCACAAATGTTTGCCACCTTGACCGCAGTAGTTAAGACTGTATGTAACTTACACAAATTACAGGGCGCAATAATAATAATAATAATTTATCATTTATTTAGCGCCAAATACCCAACGCAAATGTTGCTCAGTGGCGATTTACAAACACAATTTGTAAAATAAATAAAAAATAAAATAAAATACACAAATATAATTCATTTTAAACACGGAGACAAGTGATTGTAGCACATATAAAACATTCAAAATATAAACCAACACCTTTAGTTTCTGCAAACGGCCAATTTGATATTTGGGAGAGTTATACAGGAGTGAGTTGCAGTATGTTACAAGGGAGTTAACTTGCATCTTCGCAGTGGGCTGGTCAATAAAATTGTGAAGATGAAAATTGACAGACTTGCACACAGACGTAATGTTGTCGGACATATCGCACACCGAATTAAATTGTACGCCTAGATTTCGTACAGACTTAGTGTTCACTTCAACTACAGTGTCACCAATTTTCAAAGTAATTTGGTCGAATTTCTGACAAACACATGCTCGAAGCCTATGTAAAGCTGAGTTTCGTCAGAATACAACTGGTACTTTTGGTTATTGTGGCGCATGATAGTACCAAGGCATGATGTGTAGGTTGTGAATAGCAGGGGGCCCAAGACCGAACCTTGTGGTACCCCATACGCCACGGCACTGAGTTTAGAGTAATGCCCGCCAACTATCACAGTTTGGAAGCATCCACAAAGGTCAGATGTAAACCATGATAGAAATGTTTCTGTGATGCCAAAATCTGCAGAAAGTCGTCTTAACACACTTTGATGCCCAATAGTGTCGAATGCTGCATGAAATACACTTTTATTGACGTCCATTTCCTTAAGGATATCATTTTGTACTCCCATTAAGGCTGTCTCAGTGCTGTGCTAGGGCTTGTAGCCTGATTGGTAAGGCTTATCACATTGTCGCAACGTAGATGACAGATCATTTATTCAGCAACAACTTTTTCCATAATTTTGGATATGAATGAGAGATTGGACATTGGCTTATGGTTATTAAGTTCATTTGGATCTAATGATGGTTTCTTCAGAAGCAAAGCTAGTTTCATTCTACCTATTTCAATACAGCTGTTCACAATGTCGGTTATGACTGGGGCAAGTTCAGATACACATTATCTAGTAATGTTCGTCGGTATGGGATCTAAGCGCAATCTTTACATCTTAGCAATTAAAGCCCAAACATGTAAGTTCCTTTAAAGGAGCTAAGTCTCTAACTCAATATTTTCCATAATGTTCGAAATAAAAAAAAAATATAAATTAATAATATGTTTTTCAATAATTGAATATAAATCACTTTACATACATTCATATTACATCAATTTTGTTTATTCTGATTCGTTTTTTAACCCCCCCCCCCTCCACCCGTCTCGGGCAAAAATATGCTAAGAAACTGCCTACAACCCCACCCAATCTCCACCCGACAATAAACTACCCGACAACGCCCATTCAATTACACATACCCAACTGTCCCAGTCTGGAGACTTGTAATTACTCAACTGTCACAGGATGCAATCGTGTTGTCAGTCCGCCCCCCCCCCCACACACACACACACACCAAAAAAAAACAAAAACAAATATGCTAAGAAACTGGCTACAACCCCACCCGATCTCCAACGACCCTTGTAAAATAAACTACCCGACAACACCCAATTACAATTACCAAACTGCTCCAGTCTGCAATCGTGTCAGCTATTTCAATTCTACCCCCCCACCCACCCACCCCGCCACCCCGCCACCCCGCCACTCCAACGCCCCGCCACGGCCAAGCTTGGACGAGGTGGGATTTAACGCGTACCTTGATGACGATAAAAGTATGACATGTACTAGGAGCTCGAACCTTCGCCTGTCCGTTGAAAGGAGTTGGGTCGTCTGTCGAATCTCGTGAGTTTTCTGGAGATGCTCCTCTTTCATCTCAACGCTAAAGCATAAGTATCTTTCCTGTCGATTCGGTATTCGTAAATCATATATTTATTGTGATAATTACATTACATATTTGCGTGCATTGAATGAAAACCTGCCTATTTTAAAAATTATCTGGAGTAGTGCACTATTATTTTTAATGGAATCCAACCGAGAGTTATCTCCCTTTTCGCTTTTCCCGACCTAAAATGAATCTGATGGTAGCTATCACACGGAGACCATTATTAGATCCAACTGTGTTTAACCAAAAGCTTCCAGTAATTGCATAAGATAGGAATACCGTACATTTAAATCGAGTGCAACTGTGGGTTTCCCCCCTTCGGTCCCAAAACAAGAGACCATTATCGAGCACGCGTGACATGTGCAAATGACTAACATCACGAAATTGAATTATAAATCAAATATTTAATATTCTATAGGCATTGATACTTAGCCATCATGACTGCTGAGAGTAAATTTCATGTTTATGCATCTGAAGTATTGGACACGGTTTATTGCAATGTTTGGTGGTCCTGAGGTCACCAGTCAAGGCTGTTTTTCGAGAATCTAGCAATGACTCTGCAACATAGATGTGTTATATTGTTGAACTCCTCAGATGAGAAGTGGTATCAGATGTTTAAGGTAACGACATCGAAGTAGAAGATATAGAACTTAATTTCAGTCATAATAGTCGATGACAATAGTCTCACCTACAAAACCAGACTTCTCAAAAATCTTCTTCTTGATGTAACCATTATTAATGAAATGAAATGAAATGCGTTTTAACGTCCTACTTTTCTGCAACACCAGTGCTCATGAAAACGGGAATTATTTTTAATTTCAACTGTAAAGGGTCCTTTTACGTGCACGTCAACGTGTACGCGGGATCTCCGTTTTTCGTGCCTTCGTAATGACTGGACGCTCTTCCTGGTCAAGCTACCCTGCACCACTGACTAGAGGATACCACACCGGAAAATCAACAGGAGTTTACTAGGCTACTACAAGGATCGAGCCTGTGGCCTCCGGGGTTAGAGATTCAGTGCATTACTCACTGTCACCGCCGCCCCCTAACCATGAATTGTTTTTTTCTAGCTATTAATAAATTGTTAGTACGGTTTGCTAGGGTCCGGTGTATGTAGCGAGATATCTACTATGATCTGGTTACAACTAGATGTTATGTCCATCCCATTTATGTTGTTTGTCATCCCTTTTACAGAAACGGGGTTCTGAAAGTTTGAAAATAATCATGACAGAACCTTTATTTATTAAGTAAACCATGGCTGTCTCTAATCGACTGTATAATTGTTAAAGCATTCAAGATATAAGCTAGGAATTCATCTCTCGTCTTGGGATGGCGTATTCCCTTTGGCTGTATGAATGATCACAGCATTTTAAAGATATGGCGAGACTTTTTGAAATAAGTTTTTGATTGTTAGGTTGATCTAAAGTCGACCTATCATATTAACATACCAAACGCGTTTCATAGCTTCCGGTTGAAATTCAATACAATTAACAAACAATAAACTGTAACAATAACTTTATTTCTTATTTAATACAGCATCCATATCTGTTTTGATAAGTACTCAACAATTTCTCAGAACAGCAGCCTTCGTTACCTTTCGCAATTATAAAAACAATTCACATTCAAGAAGCGATCTGTAGCTAAGGGGAGGTAAATCCAATTGAGAGTGTCTCAAGCTCAAGCCATAAATTATTTCAACGCATGATTGGTTTTATAATGTAGCTTTTAAAATGGTACAATAAATCATCAAAATATCATAGACGCCATTTTGTTTTGTATTTTTAAAGGGCGTATGGCTCTATTTTTTGGTACCTTGAAATAGACGAAAATGGTGATTTATATTCAATTTTCGAAAATAATATTGTAATTTCTAATCAATTATGTTCGGTGAAATAAATGAACAGTTCAAATTGAACGGCAGAGGATTACGCAAGCTTAGTCCATTCTACACATTTTTTTTAATTATTATTTTGTCGTTTGTGAATCAACCTTTACTAATTACTTCCACTTTGTCTTGTAGGATATGCTTTTATTTTTTCATTACAAGATGGCACCCGAAACCATAGAATACACGACTTGTGTACTGACTATAAAATGTTAATTGTGTTTTAAACATTGGATATTAGGACCCTATATTTTCACGGCAAGATAACAACACCAAAATTGATTGAATTTGACCAATATTGAATTCTAATTAGCGTTTTTGATTTTTAATATAATAGAAAATATGAAGTTAGAGATTTCGCTCTTTTAATAAGTATTAATATTGTTTTTTAATTTCAAATATTATGGAAAAATACTGATTTAGAGATTTAGCTCCTTTAATAAATACACGTTTCTGGTTGGTTTTGAGAAAATTTAAATTAACATCCATATTTATTTTATCTCCAATGTTAATACAGAATTCTAAGATCGCTCTAGCAATAATTTTGTTAATTTAATTCAAAATACATGTAGCACATATACTAGTAACTTAAAGCATTGCTACAAACAACTAACTTAGGCACTATAATGTATGACCCACACCATTTGGAAAACATAATTAGACGCATGCCCCTAAAAAAAGCATTATTTAAGAGCTAAATCTGCCTGTTTGGCCTCAAATGTTATATATATCGACATTTATCCACATGTCAAGCCCATAATCAACTCTGTAGACCATCGGATGGTTTTGGTTTTCAATGGATTTAAACACGATTGTCAGTTCTCTGTTTATTATCGTAACAACGCTAGTAATGACTGTTCTGCAGAATGAAGTAATGTAACACAAATTTTCAAGATATTCTCTTTTCATTATTTATTTTGTAACTATCATAGCGAGAACTGTCAGCTATATATCTAATCTTACCTAATACCCTTTAAACAATAAACCAGAAGGTCATTTCATTAAAAGGCTCAGATGGTTGTTCCTGATTGACATGGCACCCAGTCACTCGGCAAACCCCGGCTGATTCCGTTACTCTACATCTAGATGTAGGGTACTGGAATCTGCTGAGGTTTGCCGAGTGGGCACCCAGATTGGCTACGTAACTTATTTGTCAGCCGTGACATTTTTCTAAGTAAAGTATTAGGCATACATAATATACAAAACATTATTCAGTATTATTTGTTATTGTAAAACATTTATGTAGTCCTGTCTTCACCGAAGTTTTTCGAGGCGCTTTACATAACAGACTATCTAGAACATATATTTGTTTACAATTTTAAAAGATGAATGATAAACACAAAACGCATAACATACGACAAGTGTCAGAATGAAAGCAGACCAGAAAGTAATAGGTTCAACATAAAAAATATTGAAATAAATAATGTATACAACAATAGTCGAAATCACTTTTTCTATTCGTAAACGATTTTAAAAATAATAAAAGAATTTCCAAATGGTGTGGCTTATACCTACAGTGGCCATTTTATCACATTATCATTGTAACGGACGGGTTTATTTACAGCTATATATACACATTATATAATGGGAGAATGTGTTAGCTATCTACACAGGCGATATAATTGTTAGCTATCTATACTTTACAACGGACGGAATTGTAAGCTGTCTCACCCAAATATAACAGACGGGGTTATTAGATACTTACATATTATAGAATAGGCGGAGCTGTTAGTTAATGTGCACATTATAACGGACAGAATTGTTAGCCATCTACATATTAAATTAACTATTTATACATTATATAATGGACGGAGATATTGGCGGTTTTATTCGTTTTATTTTTAAATCAGCAGTTGAAATATATCATTAGCCTATATACATATCACAAAATATACAGATATCACACATGAAATGCACACAATTTATGCTTCTTTAACGATGGCGACTATTGGTGGACTATTCAATTACAACACGATTCATTTATAAGGCCCCGTCATCATTAGCCTAGTCGGTGCAGAAAAGTAGTACGTTAAACCATGGACCTTTCCATGGTTAAACCCCATTTCATGTCATTTAATTAATAAGATGAATGAACACGCCTTAGGATGTGTGGTCGTCTTGGGTAAAATTTAAAATAAGGGAAATAACTCCTAATATCACAATTATGGTTTCCGACTGGTAATTATATCACTATTATCTTCAAATAAAAATCCATGCCATATCTTGACTTTTCGAACACTCCGATGATCTTAATCTTTATAGCCATAAAAAAGCCCGAACTTTAGGCCATTCGAAATAATTGTCACATTAAGTCCATATTCACGGCAATCTGATTAAAATAAAGATCAATATTTCGTTTCGTTTTTTATACTTTCGATGACCTCCACTACATGAAGATCTGATCGGTTGCAATGGAAGGTTGTGTCAGGGGTCACACGGCTGACTTTTAACCTATGACGTCAGACATCTGATTAACCAGTCAGCGTTGATGTGTCTAGTGGGATACCCACAGTTCAGTACACAGCGCGCCAAGACCTCGCCGTAACAGACCGTTTCATTGGTTAATCCCTCACATCAACCAGGAGGCGGAATATATAACAACTCTTCCGGATCCTAGTGTAGTAAAGACAGGTAGAACGAAATTTTGAACTATAAAAAACGAAACGAAACAGGATTATATTCACGGCGAGCAAAATACCCCTGCCCCCTTTTTTTCTAGCATCGCACATGTGACAATTAAAAAAATTACCATATGCTGGTAAATCAATGTGCAAAATTGGATTTTTGAATTCTATATTTAATCCCAATGCTCATTAAATGATTTTGGTCAAGTTCCATTTGATATGAAAAAAAATCGAATGATTTATGATATATACATGCAGATGATTATATAAAATATATATTATTTATATGAACATACTCAGTATGCCAATCAAAAGCCAAAATGTGAGAAAACTGACCAATTATCTTAAAGGGGAATGTTCACTAGATTTGCGTAAGGACTTTTATTGTTCGCTAGAACTTCGATAAATATATAGACATAATTATCCAGTAACTTGGGGACTTTTTGTAATTTAGGGACTTATTGCCATTGGGAAAATATTTTTTTTTTTTGAAAAAGTATCACAAAAATAATTTATTCCATGATCAATAAAATATTGTGTCTTCATTAGCCCAATCGGAACAGAACCGTAGGACGTCAAAGCCCATTTTCATTTCAGTAAAATATTCAAAAAATATATTTTTTGGTAAATGAAATTTTGCCGGTCGAATTCAAATCGTTGAATATGATATAACAAATTGCAACGTGTAGCCTACGATTGACCAAATTAACACACAACTTGCAATAAATAAAAGAGTACAGCATGCATACAGTGTAATCTAGGATAAAAATAAATTATATATTTTCAATCTCCACTGCCACCACGACCCTTCTTTATGTTCTGTTTGACCTGACCAAGTGCAACCTGGCGAGCATTTGCACCGAACTCTAAAGTATTGCACGTTTCGGGATAGTTGTTAACATCTGGACTAATATTAACAAATACACATGCCTGAAAAAAGAGAAGATTGTAATTTATAACCAGTTCAACATGAATGGAATACCTACTAAAAAGTGTGCTAAAGAGCCAGTCTGTGACAGGTGTCGTACACAAGACAGGGTATTCTTACTTCCCCACGATACAAAATGCCAGCGGGGTCATTAGAGAGCTCATTTAGAATGTTAATACTGTTAAATGTAAGTATACATATTATGTATTTCTTTACTTCGTGTACTATGCGCAATGCCGATTTACGTAACTGGTTGCCGTAGACTAGGTCACCATGACGCCTGATAGTAACGTAATGCAAGGTGTTCTAACGTGTATCTCGGTGAACAAGACTACATGTAATAGTTGGCAAATACAAAACCAAAACTAAACAGGTCAATCAGCGTTTGTTTATCTTGAAAACAGTCTCAAAGTGTTCGGCATTGTTATTTTAAAATGGTCAGATAATAAAGGTCATGAAAAGCTACAGATTATAGGAAGTAGATAATAATGTTCATCCTACCTTTGCATCTCCACCTAAACATGGACGTAAAATTTGCGTTAGTTTTGAATTTCTGTAGGGAACATGCATTTGGCTAGTCCTCAGAGCCGAAAAAACCTGCAAGGAATAAATCTCAGATTAAAAGAAAGTTCAACTGAAGTACATTGTTGGAAATGTCCATTAACGTCCCTGTGTTCCTGCACTTCTTGTTAAGAGACTTGGTGATACTGACTACATCTACTTCAACTGGAACGTCAATGTATTGAAGGATTCTAATTAGTAGAATGAATGTATGAAATTGGGTTTAACATAGTACTGTTCTTCTCCAACTGGGATAATGAAGGTGGGCATTGAATTTACACAAATTACTTCATGGTTGGTATAGTTGAGGTACAGGCATAAACTCACATTATGAAGCATTCATTAGGATACTCGGTGTCTAGTTAGGAGCAGAGTTGTCAATATAGGCCTGTTCATCGGGAATTTCTGGCGTGGTTTACTTTTGTCAGTAGTGCAGGGTGGAAGGCCTGACAAGGAGAGCAGTCTAGTCTTTCGGGTGAGACGAAAAACCGAGGCCCCGTGTACACATTGACGTGCACGCAAAAGATCCTTTGGCAGTTGGAATTCGATATAAGAATAGGCCGTAGCGCCGCTGTCCGTGCAAAATTCCCCACATACCACACTATATGGCGAATGCCCGTCCTTAGTTCGAATTCGATATACATGTAAGAATAGACCGTAGCGCCGCTGTCCGAGCAAAATTTCCCTCGTAGCACACTGTATGGCGTATGCCCGTCCTCATTATCCCAATTGGGGTAGAACAGTAGGACGTTAAACCCCATTTCATTTCATTTCATTTCAATCTGGGCCTGTCAGCATCTATCTCCCTACGATGACAAATATCCAGCTTTACCCAAGTATTACCCAAGATACACCAGACGACATTAAAACAATTTAAGATGGCGGTCGATATGGGACCTACCTGTCCAAGCGCTGATAGAGATTTATTAATAGCAGCTGCTTCAATTAATCTCTGGCCAGATGCCTCAGTTTTACCAATTCTTTCAGAACCAGCTAAGTCGCATAGTGTTAACACCCCTTTAGATATTGACCCGTTAATTTTGTCTTTGCCTTCTATTGTAAGCATCAGTACTAAATGAGAACGTGAACTGAAAATATGAAAATATTACTTTATGTTTGGATGTCAACAAACTTTTAATGTACTATTCTTGTCCTGGTCTGCCCGAAAGTTTAGTTAGTCATTTAACATTCCTTTTGTGGCGGTTTGGAATGGTACCCAGTTTATCTGGTACAAAACCCTTAAGCGGTGGACACACTAGACGAATGATTCGGCCGAATCGTTCGGCCGAATCAATCGGCGTCGAAATTCGCCTAGTGTGTCCACTGTCATTCAGCCGAATTTCTATTCGGCCGAATGATTCGCCCGAATCAAACAGGTTTGACATATTCGGCAGAATTATATTCGCTTGGTGTGTCCGCTTCGCCGAAGCATTCGGCCGAATATAGAATTCATTAGCCAATCACCACTCATATCGAGAAGTCACGTGATAGATTGAAGACATAGACGCCGCCATGTTTAATCATGTGACGTGAAAGGTGATGCAATCGACAGGTTGAATCGGGCGAAGCATTCGGCTAGTGTGTCCACCCATTCGGCCGAATAAAATTCGGCGCCGATTGATTCGGCCGATCGATTCGGCCGAACGATTCGGCTAATGTGTCCAGTGCATAACATTGTTGTAAGTAAAATGGCAGATAAACATGACATACATGTACAATACAATACACAGTAATCATAATAATGCGTAAAAAAAAAGATATTATGAATAAATAAAAAACATTATGACACCGAATCCGGGGTTAATACCAATAATAGTCAGACAGGGTTGTTAAAAAGTACTTCAGAAGAAAATTCGAGAAAGACAATGAAAATAAAAATAAAACGGGACAAATAAAATCTTTGATGTTATAGCATAGGACACCGAGGAAACCAAACTGACATGGGTAACCGATGCGGTTTCAGTCGAGTCAAACCGGGTACTGAGTACGACCGCGACCCCAATTTTCTATTAAATGTCTTGTAGAAGACGATCTATAACCTCAAATGTACGCAAATAATATATATGATTTTACCTAGTGGAATTCATTTTAGTTGAAGCTACAGATCTGTTCTTATCACCCATTTCCATTGCCTCTTTGATTTCTGATTCCGTGGTTATATCAAGTTCTGTTAAACCAGGTATTCTAAAATTATTACCAGCAGCTCGAAGTTCAACAGTTTTACTATTAGCCGCCAATAGATCAATCACAGTCTCGTTGTAGATTTCTACCATCGAAAGCTAAATAGGAAAAAAATTGTCAATGAAAACGATCAATCTTTATCTTAGCTATTATTTTATACCCTTGTTTTATATTGAAGATTTGATCCATGTATTGCTACCACTGACGAGTGTCATGTACACGGTATAGTATGCTTAAGTACGGTATTCTTACTTTCTCTGGAACATTTTTTTTGCAGATATATTTATTAAAGATAGTATTTATAAAGAGAAATGGAGTTTAACGTCCACTAGACACACACTAGGAATTATATATGGCTTAAATTTATTTCAATAATTCGTGCGAGGAAACCGGGGAACCCTGGCAAAACCCATGAGGTTGGACAGGCAACCGTAATCCTTAACACGTACAAGCGGGGAATTGAAACCATGTCACTTGACTTAATAGTACAGACCTAGTGATATAAGGCGCATGCGTTAAACCTTTCGCCCCCCCCCCCAAATCCCCTTATATTTGAGATATAAGATAGAGGCCCCAGTTGGACAATTAAATGTGCTAATCAGATAGACAACTTAAACGCCTATAACTATAAAAACTATATAGAATATATTACACCAATCTGATTAAAACACAGATCCTATTTCGTTTCGTTTTTAATAATTTAAAATTTCGTTTCACTTGTCTTTACTACACTATGATCTGGAAGGTTTGTTATATAACCCGCGTTCTGGATGATGTGAGGGATTAGCCAATGAAACGGTCTGTTACGGCGGGTTTTTGGCGTGAGGTACACGGAACTTTGGGTAAACCACTAGAAACGTCAACGCTGATTGATTAATCAATGTCTAACGCGACCTTCCACTACAACCTGTTAGATCTTCATGTAGTGTAGGCCGTCGAAAGTATAAAACAAATATTACCTTTAGGTTATATTCTTTCGTCTCAGCTCTTTCTGCACATACTGACAGTAATTCAGATAACGCCCTGAAAAGCAAATGAAAACAAATTTATTTTCTGTTTCTGGTTAACATTCACCAGAATCATCTATTTGAGATACAATGAATAATGTTGAAATTACACGCAGATGGTCAACTGTGGTATAAGCCTTGCTCCAAAGAAACCTTATAAACGACTTTTATGTGTAGAGATGATGATTAAGTTTAACTCTTATACCGTATATTAATTCCAGGATTAGAATCTGTACCCATCATAGTGAATGTTTTTCCTGAACCAGTTTGTCCATATGCCATCAAACATATATTATACCCATCGGCACACGATGTAATTACGGGCTTAGTATCAGCAAAAACCTTTAAAATACAACACAGAATGAAATATAATAAGACCAACGTCTTGTTTATCTATACCAAACGAGATAATAAAGACGGACTTAAACATACATTATGCAAGAGGTAAATCTTCCTATTGCAGGTCTTTCATTAGGCCTAAAATGTTATCTAAATTATTAATTAGACATTAATTAACTTATCCAGACCATAATCAACTTTGGATGGTAGCTTCGAACAACCAGTACGATGGTTGAAATTATTACACACGCCTTGTCAAACCTTCAAAGGCTTATATCTTCGCTCGCAACAGAGTGATTTGAATGAAATTTTCAAATTATTCATTTTACATTATCTATTGTCGAACTACTATAGCAAGAATGGCGAGCTCTTTATCTAAATTTTACATAATGTATATTTAAGCCACGTGGTTTGCAAAGGGGAAAAAATTGCAAAGACAACGACACTATGGGATCTTTGTTTTTGTTTAATCCGAACTTTTAAAAAAGCAAATAGTTTTTATATTTCATTTAATAAAACTAGAGGTCTTGTCTGAGCTAACACCGAGATGAACTAGAATATCTAAATTTAAGTTGTGTCTTAATATCAGATGTATTTTGAGATGGAAAGAAAACTATGATAATATAACCATCTTGAAGTTTCATTAGAATTTCAGTAGCTTTTTATCGTTAATCAAAGTTAGTAAGCAATACAATACAAAACGATGTAATAGTTTCCATTTCGAAATGCTTTATGGAACCATTCCAAAAATGTGTGGAAGAGTAATAAATTTTAACTAGAAAAGGTATTTTGTAGCTCAGAAGTCAATTAGTATTAGTACATACTATATTTTGTAGATAATTCATTACAAATAACAATAAAATTCTCTATTTACCTCCTCTTGGGAACAGTTAGTGTTGTAAACTTTATCAAAACTAAATGATTTTTTATTTCCGTCTTTGTTACTGCACACAAGTTCGTTTTCTGTAGAAAAATCTAAACAATTTTGAACATTTTTATCCTTTCTTGGTCGACAGAACACACGTATATTACCACGTAATTCTTGCAGCTGAAAATAAAATATTGAAAAGGGCACACTAAAAATATGACAATATCTTTATGATCCACAAAGATTTAAACATTTACTTTTCTTATTCGCAAATGACCTTGTAACAGCTGTATAAAGAAAAAAATCTTGGAGCTAATAATACGCTCAAGTCCACATAGTTAACATTAGGCCAGTAACTGTAATGGCTTTAATTATTAAAAAGCCTATATTTCGTTTCTGATTTGGTGTATTAGGCAACTTTCTACCACAGAAGGAGTATGGCCTCCTGCTCAAAAGCAGGTATGAGGTTCATTAGGGAAAACATGAGATAAACAAATTGAAAGTTGAGATAAATAACATGCAACTTTCCGACCCACATTTCAACCTAAACAACCTGTTAACTCTCATATCTTTCCGCCTGAAAATCATAACTATTCACCAAAACCTGGCAGAAGATGTATATTCAAATCCTTTTCTTCGATTCTACACCAAAAGGTTAAGGTTAACATATATCGCCATGCAAAAGGGGGGGGGGGACTAAAATTAACTTGCTTTGTGGGTGACGACGTATTCATAATTGGTGGCCTGTGTCCGTATGTCTGGGATTACGCTGATCGGATGGCAATATAATATGACAAGTGATAGTTAATGTCATTGCAGTAGTCTGTTTCATCTTTGTGCGACTAAATTACAACGTCGACTAAATTACAACGTCATCTTTGTGACCACGAATGTAGTTATTTTGATATAAATGTACATTATACATGTTTCCCACAATAATATTGCTGGCCTTTAAAGTAGAAGCCCGCGTTAATGTTCACAAAAACTGGCTTGAATGGCATTTAGTAATTGAACTGGAAAGGTTTCGACCAGGACCCTTATTATCGACAGGTGGCTCTATTTTTTCGCACGTACCGTTGAAGAGTAAAACTGTTATTGCCGATGGTGATGATGTTATTTGTTTTAAATGTATTGCAATAACTTCTATTGAAGCTTATTGCCATTAATAAAATACACATAATATTTGAAATATATGAATAATGTACCTTATTATATAATAACTTTCTTTGCAAACATTCTTTTTGATATAAGCTTTTGATTTCTTCAAGTTCTGCCATATGAGAATTATCGACTTTAGACAATTTAAGAAAAGCCTCGTTAACCTGTAAAACAGCAATTAAAAACGTGAAAAATCAATTGTATTTAATGCAAGTAAGTAAATGTCAGGTACATGCAATTACCTTGGCAACTGAGATACAGACTGTTAAGTTACATAACACCCACGGGGATTTAAATGTCTTCAATATGACTGATAGACCGAAGAGAACGAGCATATAGCAGAATTGCTTTTGTTCTGATTAATTCTTTGAAAATAAATTGATTTTTACAATTTTTCACAATATTGATTTAAAGTGTTTTTGTGATTGTTGTCAGGATATACATCTAATCCAAAGTGGCATTTATTTCCTGTTTCAGAATATTACTGGATTTACTCTGTGTAGTATGTTATGACTGATTAAATGAAAGAGTGTTTATGCATAATAGCAATGTATACCGAAGGTGTTTACAGTAACACGAACCATTCACAATTAGAACACTCGTAGAAAACCAATACAAAATAATACAGTGTATGACCCACAATATAGACACATTATAGATAAAAACCGGTTAATCTTATAAGGTAGGAGAACTCATTTTCAAATTGTAATGAACTCCAAGTAAAGTCGCAGTGGGCGACATGTTTTACCCGGCGGTGCGTATCTTCTTGTGGACAGTACGTTTGTCACCGGAACGAACTGCCCATGACCGGAATCAGACGTTCATGACCCCAACCTGACGAAGCTTGCTGGAAACCACATTCTATGTAGTCGAGCTTGTTTCGTTCATACCACGAATGGTGAAGAGATTTAATTTATCCAAAATGGATCCCCTAACATCATGAATAGTGAAGAATTCTATTTATCGAAATGGATCTCTCATCATACCTGTCTAACAGTAGTTGCGAATATATCAAGTTGTCTCTCAACTGTATGTTTTAATTGTGAATGACTCTTATGAATTTCGGTTGTTTTCAAATTGAGTTCATCCAAATCTTCCACAGGAAACCTCTCTTCTATCACCGTTTTCTGTGCCTGAAAAATGAAATAAATAAACGCTATAGGTAACTTAATGAATTGCTAATAGTGGTTGGATAGTTTTGTGTAGAGTCTACCTTTGGTTTAAGTCAAAAGGGACTGTACAGTCCAGAATACGGATGTATTCAAAACCACGCCCCTTATATTTTCGTACCTGAACATGAGTTTATCCATACATTATCAATTTATTATGTTTGCTAATTGAATAGATTATATAGATACTCGTGGAAACTTTAAACATTCCGTTGTGTTTGATGACGTATTGTCCTTAATCCAGTGGCAAGATTGGGAGTATAAGCATAACGTTCTTTGTGTTCTCACGTTCTTGATAAGATTGGGAATAAAGTAGTTTCCGATACGACCAATTAATCAATAATCCTACTTTACTGGTTTAACTTAAGAGGATATTATTATACCGTAATAGCGCACGGGCTATCAGTTTAAGATTGAAAGCATTGGCTTCCGGATTAACCATACGTTTAACAATATGTTATTTGTTTTACCTGTGGTGTTTTCGGTCGTGCTGTTCTTGGTCTTGTTTGTTGCATAGCTTCAACTTGAGCAACCGCCATACCCGATTTAGCTTCTAGTGTGCTCAGTTTTTCTTGTAATATCATAACCTATAACAAATCATGTAAAATCTTCTTATGTTATGTAAATTGTTACGTATTTATATACTGGCATAATTCGATCCAAATCAATGATACACCACTGGGCACATAACTAAAGATAAAATAGTACAAGTTTTAGTTCAATTTTCGGCCAGTGCGTAGAGGTCTTTGGGCAGGCAACCGTAGACCTTGTCACGTACACGTTTAGGATCCACCAAGTCACATGTCACGAATACCCTTCCCTCCAATCAGAGAGGATCTATTATAACTCTAACCTGATTCTCTGCTTCTTTTCTAAGGTTTCCTTCATTTCTAACCTCCGTTTCCTGAAAACAAAACACGAAATTAATAATACTAAATAATTGTCCACACTTTCCTTGCAAACTATAACATTCTCGTAAGAGCATTGTAAAAGTAATATCAACATTTATTTTCTGATAGCCTACCACCCCCCATCTTCAATAGAAGGCTTGATCTCGCCTTAACATGACTACCACCTCACTCTCATCCTACTGTACTTCACAACACAATCATACCAGTTGTTTAACTTTGTTTTCTAATTCCTTGATTTCGAAATTCTTATTCTTCAGGGTGTTTTCTTCTTGGGATGTTTTTGGAGCAGTTAACCACACTGAAATAAGTAACAAAATAGTATGACCCGTTTCCAGGTAAGGACATTTATTGTCAAAATTAGTTTTTAGAAAATTGATAAACAGACGTTAAATCTCATTCCAACTATACCGCGTATATATATTTATCAAAAGATGAGATTGAAATTAATTATTTTATAAGTAGTCTGGAAAGATCTCGTAAATTCCTATATGTATAATAAACACCCTCTTTCAACTACCTAACTCTCTACAAAATATGCCTAGCAGAAAGTATTTGAAAATAAAAAAAATAAAATGTGTTAATCGTGATTCGTTAAACAGTAATGGATGGCGTCATTAAATTCTATATTCATATAGGAATAAAAACCAGTTATGAAAAGATGTTTCTTCAGACTAAATTTAGCGATTTTAAATAACAAACGAACATACCATCGTTTTCTAGATGTAAATATAATGATATGCATTCATCCGGATTATAATTACAAGCTCTCAATGATGCTAATATATGTGGTCGATTCTTCCAATTAGGTAATGCTTCCTAAAACAAATAATTACCAAGAAAAAATAGAACAGAAAACGTTGTAAATTGCAATATGCAAAACCAAAAGAATAATTTCTCCACATTATTGTTATTTTACTTGTGAATAAATCCCATTGATTATTTTCATTGAAAATGGCAATTGTGCAATCTGTTTATATAGATTTATCTTTGACAGAATGCATTAATCTACTTCTAGTAAATTTTGTTTTCTTTTATTTTGTTTTGAATGCTCAATTGGTGACTCCCAGAATTCCGTCCACATCTCGCGTACAGCTAGCCTACACAGACCATTCCATTGGTTAATACCTCATATCAGACGCTATACTACTGTCGTGAAAACAATGATTAAGTTTTGAAGTGTCGAGGTTTGCTCGGTGGGTTATCGGCGACGAGAAATCGTACTGCCACTGGTGGAACTGGTATATGTATAGATATAGAAACTATACGTCAAAACGAATAAAATAATCTCAAGTGAACATCTACCTACCTCAACCTGGTCTACCATTTCTTTCACTAAAGCGTGACGTAGTTCCCAACCTAAAGGTAACCTCATCCATTCTCCAGTTGTTGCGTCATAGAAACAATGAATATAATGTTTTTCCTGAAAGTGAAATGTGTAAGGACGTTATTTGAAATGTACTATAATCATTTAAATAATATTCAAGAAGTTCTCAGTCAATCCTAACGGGATACACATTGTTATTGTATTTGGAGGGAGTAGGCCACCTCTACCGCCTTCACTATTACCCAATCTTTTAAAATGAAATGGGGTTTAAGGTCCTACTTTTCTTCTCTGGGCTAATGAAGACGGGCACACGTCATGCAGTATGTTATGAGGGAAAGTTTGCCCGGACAGCGGAGCTACGGCCTACTCTTTTTATTTCGAATTCCAACTGTCAAGCGTTTGTTTACGTGCAAGCCAAGGTTTACGCGGTATTTCGTCCTATCCGAACGACTATCGCTGTCCCTTGCGAGGCCCCCAGTCCTACATCACTGAGCCCCTCTCCCCACCCGGGAATGTTTTACAAAAAACAAATTCTTATAAAGAATGATCATGTCCCATCTTCATTCCCATCAGTATACGTATAAAATATTTCAAGAATACTAATTCGGTCTGTGTAATTAATTCCGAAGAGCTCATCCCTCCTGTTTTTGAAATTGTCAGAACTTCCAAATGGAACTGAATCTTTTTGTCCGTACCTGACTACCTGTATGTCGTGTCTAAAACTACAAACCATATTGATTTACATACCTTAAATAAATATGTTCTAATATTTCCTCGTTTTGGATGAGAAATTATTCCCTCGCGATCATCTTTCCTCGTTTCTACTGGCTGTTCCGTTCGTTGGTCTGATTTGTTCTGTGTATTATTGCTTGCTGTAGTTTGTTGTTTGGCAGGCTAAAATATAGTGGGTGACTTTTTACTTTTACATACAAACGCATAACTTGAGCGTTACCAGCACAGCGGTGTCCAGGTGTTAATGAAAAAAAGACCCAAAACAAGACAGCGTAAAATTGAACGTTATTTCGGAGAGTAAACATAACAAATAACAAATAATATTTGACATTAAAGTAGATTTATTTGCAGTGGTAAAATATACCACTAACCTTAGACTGGTCTACGGAAAATGACACAGTAATAATTTGCTCGATTTTTGTCTTATTTGCATTGACTGATTTTCGGTGGAATTTTCCATAATGATTGACATCTTGTACTTATCACCTGATGGTGTGACCTGGCGATTCAAGCGAGTATAAAGAGACTATTGTCTTTTATTGACAACCTGTACTGCAAATCTCACCACTTTGCAAAGATACACATGTGGCGGTCATATGTTTAAGCGAGAAAAAATGATAATAATGTAAGGTCTGAAAACAATGTGTACTAACCTGTGTATCATTTAGTACGTTAGCATTCACAAATTTACCCTCCTTGTACCATCTTTGTGGAAATGGCTGCCATTGCTTAAATATTAATAATCATCAATATAACTAATACTATTAAAAGATATTGGCGTTAATTAGGTCATCCGTTCAAAACCCAAAACTTATTTTTATCTGCAAATATGATTTTTCTAATGACTCGGTAAAACAAAATAGGATACCGTAAGTTATCAGCTGACAATAAAAAAAACAACAACACAGAAACCCCATCATGGGGTAGATATGGTGGTATACTGTACAAGCCAAAATGTCAATGGCTACAGCTTATACTTCGAACACGTATCACTCTCCCAAAATGACTGCACAACGGAACATTCCAACAAAATGCTCGTAAAGTTTACCGGCTCCGGCTACAAATATACTTGTCCTGGTAATCTGGATATAATATCTGATCAACCGCTATATAATTAGATCTTCGAAGGAATACAGTCATCTGTATATATAATTCTGTGAAAGGTATATTAACATTTTACGGTAAATTTCATTGCAATTTCATTAGTTAATTTTTAATGTTCAAATAAATTATTGTTAGTAGCCAAACCTTAGAATGCCAATCGTCTAAATAAAACCGCATTCCACCAGTATACATACACTGAAATTCTTTACCATCTCTAACAAAAGTTTCAAATACTATTTCATCTCCTTCCTTTAAAAATAAACAAGACGATCATTGTAAAAGTTAGACCCATTTGTACAATAGCAAACTGTGAGATATGTCATGAAACATACCTGGATACGTACTTATATTTCTACTTTCGGAATTTTATTATTTATTTGGACCTAATATTCCAGACTACATGGCAAATACACACAATAATAAGTACTCTTACCATTTGTTATTATTGTCGATCAAACATAACGGATGTTATGTCGATCAAACATAACGGATATATTTAAAGTTCACATTATTTCCTATAGATTTTATATACCCTCCCTATCTTTGTCGACTCCTCCCTCAGTCCGGAGAATGTCATTTATAGCCATGCACATCGATCTCTAGATGGTTTTAATCAAAGCCAACTGAATAAAGACCAAAATAAACTAACCGAAGTTACAGCAATCTAATGCTCACATTATTTCCTACAGATCTAACACCGACATCTTGGACGTCCTAGACTCGCCAGTCTATGGGGACAAGTCATTTCTATCCATGCACATCGATCTCTAGATGGTTTAATTGGTTTTAATCAAATTGTACAAAGACTAACATAAACGTAACGTTACATTGCATTGATCTGGAAATTCTATTACAATACTCACACAGGTTGTTGCTGCTTCATTTCCCGAATTTCGGCTACTCGCATTATCATTTCCACTACTAGTGTTTCTGCTACTCATTGTATTTCGACTGCTTGCGTTGTCACTCGGCAATGACGAACTATTCGTTGATGGGGATGCACGGCTTTCACTGTTTCGTTTATCTTCAACAGGAGGGGCGAGCTGTACCTCTTGAAATTGTTGTCCTTTTCGAGGTGCTGTAGTTTGAGGAGTGCGCTCGTTTTTAACTGGCGATTTTTGCTTAGAAACTGGACTGGGACTGTTACTTGGCATAGATGCACTGTTACCCATTTTACACCTACAATTGGAAAATGTCCTCAACATGTATTAATACAAGAAGACTGGGCTTGGTGGAAATATAAATGTCTACAACATGAGACCCTATCTCCTTGATTAAATCGCAATAAACATTTTCAAAACTACTATGAGAGTTGTAATATTATGTAATCTAATATTAATTATTCTGTTAATAATACTCATTTCATCCACACTAAAAACATATACATAATAATATCATTCAGTCTAATCTGTTACCATGACGATATCTGTAGCGTGTAGTATTTTGATAATAATTAATAATACATCGCCGTAATATGAATTCTAGAGTGGAATCTATATTAAGCAGCCACACATGGGAATTTTCATGACCGACAGCTTAACGGGAGTGACCTCCTAATAAAATCTTAATGTTTGTTAGTGCTGACGACGATGTCAAGTAAATTTTACACTTTAGTGCATGTAGTGCAAACATCAATACATGTACTTGCATCGGCAAATTTGGCCGTCGCTGAAACTTGCTTTGAACGAACATTCTTCGACTCAAATCTCTGATGTAAACGTGTCATTTTGTACCAAAATTGATACTATTGTCTACCATCGTCATGTATTCGATAATATTTATCCATTTTTGTAAAGAAAATCCTTGAATTAATTTTTATTTTATCAAAAACGTACATGCCCCAAAAAAGAAACATCGCTAAATTTTTCACCGTTTTTCAGGGGGTGTAACTCTGTGTGCAATATAGGAGGCGCTAAAACTTCTGTTTAGCAACAAAGTGGCAATGGAAAATAGATACTAGATGATCGTGACAAAACTCAGATTTGTCGGTACTTATAGTTTATTCAATCTGTATCAAATAATGTTTCTCGTTACGTGTGAAAACAATGATCAGCAAATCAGGTTTTGGCATTTAATAAAACAAAAGATTAACACCTTATGGGAGATTAGATAAAGAGATGGCAGTTCTCACTATAATATTTAAAAACTAGATAATGTAAAGGGAATTTGCTGAAAATTTCAGTCAAATTGACCCACTCTGAACCGAGGGTTTAGCGATTGAATTTTAGGCCTAGCCTCGATCATCATTACTAAAGTCGGTATGATAAAAAAAACATAGTTTCGATTATCCACTTCATGATTAAATCTTGAATGCAAGTTGAGCGGAAATCGGACCCTAATCCAGAAAATATCGCCCCATAGCGATGACATCGAGAGTTGATCATGGTCTGGATAAGTTAATTAATATCTGGTCAATAATTTAGATAACATTTCAGAACTAAAGAAAGATCTGCAATATGCATACATTATGCAAGAGCTAAATCTGCCTATTTCAACATGCATTATGCAAGAGCTAAATCTGCCTATTCCAGGTCATATGTGCAGGACCGTCTCCGATCTAGCTTTCTCCGAAGATCTGACCGGTTGTAGTGGTAAGTCGTGTCAGGGGTCATACGAGCGGCTTTAGGCCTTATGACGCCAGACATTGATTACTCAACCAGCGTTAACGATTCTAGAGGTTTACCCACAGTTCCGTGCATGGCACGCCAAAAACTCGCTGTAACAAACAGACCGTTTCATTGGCTAACCCCTCACATCAACCAGAACGCGGCTTATATAACACCTCTTCCAGATCCTAGTGTTGTGAAGACAAGTAAATCGAAATTTTGAACTGCAAAAAAACGAAACGAAATAGGATCTGTGTTTTAATCAGATTGGTACAGTATTGCACTAACATTAATTGGCATATGCGGTTTTGCACTGACGCCGTCAATGTTTTGAACTATATAATATAGTAGGATACAACACTAACAGTAATTGGCCAACATTGTATTACATAAACATAGGTACTGCATTGCACTAACACCTATTGCACTTATATAGACAGAGTATTATTACTATTTCCACTGTGTTCAACTGACGGATCCCCAATTGTCTTGTGATAGGTCCGTATAGCTTACAGATACAGTATTCACGATATGCTTTCCTCACAAATAATTTTTCAAGCCCAGTTCTTACTGGTGAGGGGTAGCACCTGCGTGGTTGACATGGAAAGTGTGTCTAGTCGAGCAGATGGTAAGTCCTTGCAAGCATAGATCTACAGGCAAAGGATCCTTTGGCAGTTGGAATTCGGTAAAGAGTAGGCGGAAACGCAGCTGCTCTGGACACCTTTAATGAAAATTGCCACATATTAATCTCAAATTGATCTAAGTATTGTGTTGGCGAAACATTAAACCCTATTCTGTATCATTCTAAAGTACAGTTTTATCTACTTAAAACTTCCATTAATAAATAATATTACACAAACGAATGGAAATACTCCTTTCTTAATTAACCAACCGTTATACATGCTTTTATCTCAACAAGAATGGCTGAACTCTGACGTAGCATTTCTATACAAGTTAATTGATTCTGTATTACCATTCTAATACAGTAATTATATTAACAGGAAATTCAGTGTAAATATTCAGCGCCTCGGTAATATTGGCTTGCAAATAAATACAGTGTTTGGCAGTAATCATGTATTATCTCTCTTCTTTAAAGAGACCATCAGCTTTCGGAGCAATTTAAAACCCATGGTTTACCCTCTTAAAAGTTATTGTTTCCCTAAAAGTAGATATATTTTCCTCATGTTTTTTTTTTTTAAAAATCCTGGTCTCAAATTAATCAGAGATTAAATGATATTGTTTCCAGAAAATGTTCTAAGAATAGTAACCCTTTTTTCGAGTTTTAAATATATTGTCATCCAGGATTCAAAAGTGGTTGTTTTAAATGACATATACCCAATCTGAAATTGTATTGAATATTGCTAACGAAAAGTACGGATTTCACTACTCGACAGAAATCATATTTGAATCAAAATTGGATCACCCACAACGCTTATTTTATTTCCTTTCTGCGTGCATTAACGAATCGATTATTAGTAAACAATTAAAAGACAATACGTCTTTATGAAGATATTGACAATACATGGTGTAGTAACTGACATAATCGATCATATAGTTAATGATGTATAGCAAATCGAAAACCTCCGTTTTCTGGAAAATCTTACATATCAGCTCACACCGAATCAATTTCTTTCTGCTCGTTTCAAAGGGCAAAACATTTATTTAATTTCGCTGCAAATGTATTTGGGATTTTTGTGGGCGTGGGGGGGGGGGGGGTCTGGACTTCTGGGGCAGTAATATGCTTTTGACCCTCGACTCATGTTCATGAAGCACGGACCAACAATACGTTACATAAAACAAACCCTACCAATAACAAACAATAATATGATTACACACAACAATGATCATGAAAACAACCCAATTGATTACAAACAATAACAACCCAACCAATTACAAACAACAATTAACCTGATTACATACAACAACAAACAGTAACCTATCTGATCACCAACAACGACATCTGATTACACACACAAACGTGAGTGATCATAAAAATAGAACAAGTGAGCACAAACAACAACTGAACTAATTACGAAAAACTAACCAACTACTTACAGACAATCCAATCGATTATAAACAACGACACAACAGTAACTTAAATGATATAGATCCGAATATCGAAATTCCACTTGGCAATATGATCGAACAGGCTTCGCTTTAAAATCTAATACGTAGTTAAGATACAGATGATGTTTATATTAAAAATATATCGATAAAATATTACCATAAATACTTTTAGAGTAACAGTCACGCATTCATTGTAACACAGGTACACATTGGTTGCCATCAACATGATTTGATTATTATTGGGGAAACAATTCCTTATACTTAATAGAAAAGGTCGTCTGTGATTTAAAAATATTGTTTATTTAGAGCCATTTGATGATTCTAGTATTTCTACAGAATGATAATTATTCTTTAGTATACGACCATATTACGCTTACCACGGTGGATATAGTTTTCGACCATGATATTGCGAGTGGCTTTAAAATAATAGTGCGCTAGAGGTTCAGTTGAGAATATTTCGGTGCCACCTATCCTGCGAAACGATACGGGCCTAATTCACAAAAAAATTAAACTAAAATATTTTAAGGATGCAAGCATTTCATTGGCTGATCACTAATTTTAGCTCTTGACCAATGAAAGAACTGAATTTTTAAAATATTTAAGTTTATGTTTTCGTGAATAAAGCCCATGACACTGTCGTGGGTCGCATTAGCCATCTTGTTTTGTTCTTTTCTAAAATCGCTAACCGACTCATAAACGATATTTCTTTTCTGTCCCTGAACATCGAGGTATTAATAGTCTAGATTACTATCTGAAGAACACTCTGGCGTCCTTATTTTGTTAACAAGATATAAGAAAATTGATTATCGGCCGCCTCGCGCTTTCAGACTACAATGTTCCTTGTATTCTATATGTTCTATAATCAGCTTATTAAGACATCTTTGATATACAGTATCATATTTGTCCTAGACTAGTCCGAAAACATCTTAAAATACATCTTAAAGACCAAAATTAAAACGGTTTTGCTAACAAGGACAAACCACTGCTCCCGTTAGCTATCTAACTCAAAATAGTCTTTGTAAACCATCTAATACCACTTCTCATTATTCACATAACTAACCAAAAATTTCTATACTTTTGTATATTTTTCGAATAAGTAAATTATTGTTAGCGTTGTAGCAAGTTATATACGATTAAATATTTATTTAATATAGCATTTATTTAAATGGACGTAACTTTTAACAGAATGGAGTAATATGTCGCATCATTTACTTTCAAGTGAAAGGTACTTTACAACTTTAAAATAACTCATTAGTGCATGTACCAACAACGATAAAAATACTACATATCTGAATATCTAAACTTGTCGAAAGCTTTTAGCAGCATGAATTATTTTGCAATGTAAGCTCGAAAATCATAAAATATCAGAATGGTGTGCATTTTCAATGATTTATTCCAGATATGTATTAATTGGGTGGGAATTTTAGAAGGAGGTTCGGTTTGAATTAAATCATGGGCTGAGGATTAACTGGTTTATGTCCACTTTTTGTTAAACTGAGAAAAATGGGTTGAAGTTTGGCATCACTGTATTTTGAAATTCTATGAATTTTTATCAAATTTTCACACTTGTTGAAGCTATCAATATAGCAGAGTGTGTGGTGTTTCTTTATGCAGTGTGATTCAATTTGGTCTAAATGAAATACGATAAATGGAGATAGGACTTTGTAGTTTACAAAATGTAATGAATTTGTCAGAAACATGGAGATAGAACTTTGTGCCCAAGAAGGTCTGAATCATAGTAAAAAAGGTGTTTTTCATAAATCTTATAACATTCTGATAAATATCACGACTTTCCGGGACAAAAACAACGTTTTTGGCCTAATTTCATGCCAATTTGTGAAAATTCTGAAAGAAAACGGAAGTAAAAAGGCAAAATGAAAGTCAGCGGTAGTCGGAACTAAACGCACAGCCTTTGTAGTTAAAAATAACTCATGTCGAAAACTCTCCGCGTTTGGCATTCTAATGGAAATAACCTGTGTCGAGAACTCTCGACGTCTGGCACCGAAAAAGCAATCCATCTCCATGAACTGTATACATTTTACATGTACATACAATACATGTTTGAACGAGAATTAACTAGTACTATCTCGAACGACCCCTTAAAACCAAATAAAAAAAGGGTTTCAACAAAAATTAAGTCGTCTTAAGGTGCCTTACAAGATTTCATAATGTCGGACAATATTCTATGCGCCTACCGAGGACTTTTCTGCCCTGGACATCCAGCTATGCGATTTTGCTTTTCGGCCATTTTGTCACAAGATCACATGACACCAGATCAAGGAATTCTATTGGTGAAAGTGGAAATAGAACTTTGTGAGTGGGAATGGACCCAAAATTAAAACAAAGGCCTATGTGTTTTTTAACCAAGAAGGCATTCATGTATTAATTCATTCTCACAGGACATAACACCTGTTGATTCACAGATTATGCAAATATCTCACCTTTAGCGAAAAGTGGACATAGATGATAGATCCAGTTAATTCTCAGCCCACGAAATATGCTGTACCATTTTATGGATCTGTTTGATACTGACGTGATATAGTTATTGCTTGTTCGATGATCATTAGAGAAAATAACATCCACTGTGTTCATGGTAACTGACAAGACATATACATTTAGTTGTCCTCCCGTTTCGCCGACCGAACAAAACTTACTAATTCCCGTACAGCCGACTGTGACACATTTTGATATGGATTAAGGAGATTAAGGGAGGGAGCAGTAATTTCAATGGAATTCAACTCTCTGATTTAAGATCTATACATTCACCTGATTCAATATTATTACCGCCTAGAAGGGGATAATAATAATGAAATAAATCAGTCTAAGGAGTTAAACGGCAAACCCGTTTTTACCATTCGGTTTTGAACTGGTTTAAAAATAAGCGTCTGAATGGGGTATAGGTACCTTATCTCATCTACCGATACTATGGATGACTGAACATCAATCAATTGTTTCATGTCCCATGACTGAATCTAATATTTATTGTTGATTCTTCCAATATTCCAAGCAGTGGAATACATCGTGTTATTTAAAGAGACTTCGGTCAATATTCATTCAACTGACTTCGGAACTGTGAACTTTGACAGTTTCTTTTTACATGTAATCACTATTCCAATGACGAATTACGAATGTATGTAAACAAAACGAATCGTAGTAAATAATTAGCAAAAGAAATCAATAATAAAACTTTGGAAACTATATTCAAAACGTGTGTTGCTAACGTATTTGTACAAACCAAGTCTAAATTAATCTGAATTTTTCGAATTACGTTGGGTGATTATTTTGGGCTTTAATTTCCGATAATTAGAGTCGTTTTGGCAATTTTAAAAATTTATGAACAGTGTTAAAAATCAGTTGAATTTGAAAAAACTGAAAGGGCAGTCTGGCCATTCAGTAAAATACTAATATCTTGAAATTGCTACTCAAATAAACCAATTGTTGGTCCACGAAGACCGAAATGCATGGAGCACATTAATATTATATATTGGTAACAATCTTCGAAATGGTGTACATATGCGCAAGCGGGGCTTTCCGTTAAATGCCTTAAAAACTTATGACCATTTTATAAATCGCCGCAGTCTAATCTCAGTTGAATTACTAGGTATTATCTGATTTTTTCTATCTCCAATATAAAAGTTGAGTGGAATATTATGGTGTTTATTTAATCAAGCTTGTAACAAATGATGAAACAGAATTTGAATTTTGTACTTCGGGTTTCTGTGTGTTCCACTCTCAGATCGTCGACGGAATAAAATAATTTGAAACAATATTTGTTCTACAAAAGTACTCTTCGAGACTATTACAATTCCTTAGATGGTATGGCTTTCAGTTAATGAAACAATCCCGTTTCTTTATAAGGGGTTTGCGTGGCTTGTACCTCTAACCGCTCCACAAATGATTCTTAGTGCATCTAACTGTAAATTTTCTAACTGTGAAGCTAATTTATCTGAACAGCCATCCCAAATTAAGTCAGCATAATCAAACAAAATGTGTTAGAATAAAAGAAGTATAAATGTTTTTTAATGCTTTTTTATTAAGTCGAAATTTTAATGACCTAAAACACATGATAAGCTTTGCTAGTTTATTACAGATATGGTTTATATGGACATCTCATTTGCATTTAGGTTGAAATACACGTGTCCAAATACACATGTGGTTTACTTAAATTTGTTTTAATTGAAAAGGTTATTGCTTCAATTTTTAGGGGGTTGAAAGTTGACCAGTAGTAATCAAACCATTATTCAGGATAGCCGCGTTTGCCTAAGAATCCGTTATTCGTAAATAAAGGGAAGTGTCGTCAGCAAATAGTCTAATATCATTTACAATATCATTAATACATGTATATAAAATAAATAAATGAGAACCGAGAACCGAGCCCTGTGTGACACCGGCAGGGGCAATCCTGTGGCGCCACTAACAACTACTACCGTGTACTTGTTTTTGATTTTTTAAATAATCAATAAACCAATCAAGCAGTTCCCTCCTATACCAGACACCCTCAACTTATGACAAAGTCCGGCATGCTGATGTCACAGAACACTGCTCTTGTATACTTTCCGTGATCAGTGGCTTGACAAAAAGAATGTGTTAAGTCAGTTAGTTGGCAGATAGCACTATCTCGCTTTAAGACACCACTTTGAAACGAAGTTAGTTATATCATTTACACGAAAGAAGTTCAAGACATGTTTATATATGCATTTTTCGAATAGTTTTACAACAATGCTAAATAGTGATACAGGTTCATATTTTCCGCATTCATGTGGAGGTCCTTTTTTAAAAATTGCTACTACATTTGCTGATTTCCAAATTTCAGGAACCTTTTTATGAGGAAGATATAAATTAAAAATATAGCATTGGAAAACATCTTGAACAAGTTTTTTTTTATCAGTTTGACAATGTTGTTGTCATGTATGGTTTCGATAATCTGTCTATATACTTTCCTCATTTGTATTGAGAGAATACTCTGTTGTTGTTGTTGATTACAAATTTAACATCCAATACACATTACATGATATTATGAACAGTTTGGTTTAAATACAGTTGTTTACACATGAAGGAGTAATAGAAAAAAACAAACAAAAACACAACACGGTGTTAAAATTCGCTGTCGTGAGAAGAGAGGGTGGTTTATCTTCACCCCTCGTCTTAATAAAGTCTTGTTAAAACAGGAGAGAAAATACTCTTCGAAACGTCGCCTTAAATACACTAGTAGTTGTTTTCCATAACTTTTTAAATATATAACTTGATTAATATTCGTCAGATCATGGGACTACAAGCCAGTTATGTATTGTTTGGTTGTGCTAAATATAAATAGTTACCGACCTGAATACAGGTACGAGTACTTCAATGTATATTATTCGTTATTCAAAGCATTTCGTTAATTGTCCGATAAAATAACTCACAAAACTGCTTCAGATGAATACAATCATATTTATAATCTACTTAATCACTGATCAGAGTGGTGCTGATAGGTAAGTACCTATATATCATATTGATTCGTTCATTGAATAATGTTTAAAGATTTTAATCGATATGATCTCGTTGGACGAGACACATGACCGCTAATATAGCCTTGAATCTAATCATAGAGTATTCAACACCCGAATATTGGTCACGTGACCTTGGAACTGGTCCAATATTATGACATCCGGTAAAATAAGATCATTCATTATTTCCATAAGTATATATTGACATGATAATAATAATTCATATTGCTTACCTGCAAATAGATGTTAATTAATCAGTCAATATATCTTTGATGTTTAATGGGTATGGATGTTTATAGAACGAACACATGAATTTCTGCAGATCAAATAACACTGTAAGAAGTATCACCATTTAAATTGTCAACCATTACGGTCATCGGGATTCTCCTGTAATAACTGTAAATGAATTCGTTTGTTATCTTGACAACTATTGTTATGGCATATCGATTAGCGAGCAGAGACATCCCCTAGAAACATAACATATATGGCCATCCTTTTCAACTCGAAAGCAGACTTCTTTGTGCCAATTTTCTACGACATCGATTTATTAAGGTTGATAAGGGTAACAAACATAACATAATCGAGAGACATGACGGCTAAGCTAAAGTTATTAAAAAATGTATGGAAGGTGGTGTGTGTCATTTTGGAAGTGTAATATAGTGTCAACTACATTTCGGGCTTGATTGACAGATTTGACAGGAATTTGATTTAGGTCTGTAACGACATGCAGTAGACCGTCTTATGGTTGTCATCTATGAAATTACACACACCGTTGCAATAATTAAATGGGTGGGCGAGTCGTCGGGAATTTATTGAAACGATTAGTTTATGGTTCAGCGAATTATCAATTTTTATATTGTTATTCATTATAAGTTGTTTGGTTGATTGGCGTTAAAAAATATCATCTTTACGGTTTTATTTTCGCAAAGCATACGTCAATATGTATAGCATGACAAAGACTGTTACATCTTTTGAGTTCATTAATTAAACATTCTTAATGTGATGCCGTGTTGGTAGACTGCTATCGACTGTACAGACTGTGTTAATACGTGTATTAAGTTTTGTTCTATTGATTGACCGAGGATAAAACAGATCAATCATGAACGTATCATATAACCTTATTAATAATTTAATACAATAAGCAAACAAAGCGTTAGCATTTTCGCTTTCAAAAACACCTTTAATACAAGAAGACTTTGAATGTCAGGACGAGATGACATTATCATGAACTGACCAAATATATTGGTACAAAGTCATTGATTATCGTAGGATTGGATAATTTAAAAAAGAAACAAATGCATTAATGTCAAATGTGATTAAAGGGCTACTTTCCACTCTGATCAAGATAAATAGCGACCGATAAACTAAAATATTTCAAACTACACACCTGAAAAATGATGTAATAATAAAATCCCTTGCCAAATTTGGTTCAAGAAAACCCATAATCTCGCTATCTAGGATTATAAATATTCAAAAGACACAACACCTATGCTAATTTAGTTTCTCTTAAAGCTCAACTCTCCAGTCTGGTCACAGCGTCTGTGAACTTATAATCGTCATCACTCTCTCAATAATGACCGAAAATCTTAAATATTTAATAAAGCACAACTTTAATTCCAGCAACATTCGACAATCATATCGATTAAATACTATAATCTCCAGCACCACTTCCACAAGATTTTTCAATCAAGGACCCTAGCAACAAACTGTGCTGTCAAGTTTTGAGAACCTGGTAAAAAGTTTGTGTACATATTTATAGACAGATAAGGATAAGGGCATTTAAACATGGCCGTTTCAAAAAGTATGCACTATTATTATGCACCTATAGTGTCGCATTATCAAGCAATTATATTAATCATGTCCAATTTATAGACTCACTATAATCATAAGTTGACCCATTTTGTGAATTGGCTGAAATGTAGACTTCCCCCACCTTCGATAGACCTTAGTGTTTCAAAATTAAAGAATCTACCATCTTGTAAATGGCCTGATCACTGATTACTGTGATGGATCTGGTCGACACCAAGGACAGGCTAATTATTTCCGACAAGCTCGATGGAGATAGTTGAACGAGAGAGAGAAAAAATGGGGTTTAACGTCCACTCGACACAAACTAGGTCATTTCGGGACTAACATACGGTTTAATTTTTTAATTCAATAATTCGCTTGCACGTAGGGGTCTTTAGCAGAGGGAGGAAACCGGAGGACCCGGAGAAAACCCACGAGGTTGGACAGGCGACCCTACTCCTTTTCACGTACAACCGGGGAATCGAAACCACGCCAGTTGACTCAATGACAGACTTTACGATACAGCGCGCACATGCTAACCATTCAGCCACGCCCCCCCCCCCCCCCGGGCTCAATATTCTTGAATAATGCCTATTGTTTTAGTCTCTATAAAACGTCAATTTCTGTAAACGAACGATATTTGTCAACATTTGTCAACATAAGGCCAGCTCAATTCTTCGTCATAGGTCACGAGATAGAGCTAATCCCAACCCTAACCCTAGCCCCAATGCTTACCCTATCCCTAAACTCCAATCTGGCCAACAATCACGTGCCCTAACCTTATTTGCATTTCAGCGACCTTGACAAAAATTGAGCTGTCCTTAACACATAGATTTAGCCAACAATTAGGGTTTTCAAACATTGTAGTTGAGAAAATATGTAGACGTGTGTAAGATTCAATGGTTGTTTAGATGACCAGAATAATGAATTGTTTTAAAGCTACGTTCCCAGAAAAGTATTTATCGGGTGGTTATTTCCAATAAAAGTATGGCAATTTTGTTATATATGGAAAGTAGAAATATCCAATCTTATTAGAAAAATACTGGATTCCCTGAAAAACACTCATGAAGCGCATACAGGACAAAAATGTAAGGGTTTCCCTAATCGACAGCCCGACGGTTAGGAGTGTCTGCACGCGTGACGTCGAAGGTTGCACGCGGAGATTAGACGCGTGATGTACACGCGCAGTGGATAATCTGAAAATTTAATTAGGCTTCGATATTTGTAATAAATAGTCAGCGATTAAAGACAACATCGTCTTGTGTATGCAATAAATTCTCCTCCGGCTTCGCTTGCGTTGCTAGGTACTGAGAGAGGTAAGTCACGTGACACAAACATGACCTCTTTTGATCGATTTTTTATAGCCAGGGTATTCCCCGACAATTGCAATGTTTTAAGAAGGATTTGAAGCAAAATTATGATAAATTAATTAGTTTGTTTTTAGTCCAAACATATCATCAAATCACTCAGTTTGTACCCGGGAATGTATCTTTAACTCCATGCAGACTGTATATTGCGTCTTTATAGATTGAAATGTCTCGGCAAGTAGACTACTATCCAAGGTATATAAATCGAATCCGTTATTTACACAAGATGCTGCTATATTGATTGAGATACCACGCAAAACAGTCCCATTAAAACCTTAATCGATCAAAGTTTTATGTATTCAGTATAGATTAGACTCCCACCCCACTGTGCAAGGGGGAAATAATGCATCACGCAAGAAACTTTTATTTTTCCGCCATAACTCCGTATTTATTGCTGGACTCCCATCTTTTTCGCATTCATCAATAAAATTCAATTTGGCTTTAGTGGAATGGTACCTCACTCGTTCGACGGATGTTTCGCCAGGTACCAATCAAATCAGTGTTCTCACTGAAATCAAACATCTGAAATTTTGCATAGTGGTGGACTTTCTCTCAACCGAAGGGGAATTTATTTAATTTTGTGGTTGGAACGGTAACAAATTTGTTCCAACCTAGAGTCTCATTCGATGTTCTTAAAGGAGCTAAATCTCTTTTCTTTGGCACCTAGAAATGGACACAAATGGGCCACAGTGCATATAAAAATGTAATATGAATGTATGTAAAATAATTTCCATTCAGTCATTTCTGTTTTTACTGTGATTTCTAATCAGTTACGTTCCGCGAAATACGCGAAGAGTCCAAATTAAATGGCATTCTTTGGCGTCTGGTTATTCAAGTCTACACTTGTAGTATTCTCCTGAGGGAGAGAGAGAAATGGGGTTTAACGCCCTATCGACACAAACTAGGTCATTTCGGGACTAACATATGGTTCAATTTTATTTCAATGGGTCTTTAGAAGTGGGAGAAAACCGCAGTACCAGGAGAAAACCCATAAGGTTGGGGGGGGGGGGGTGTTGGATGGCTGAATGGTTAGCGTGCGAGCGCTGTATCATAAAGTCTGTCATTGAGTCAACTGGCGTGGTTTCGAATCCCCGGTTGTACGTGACAAGGAGTAGGGTCGCCTGTCCAACCTCGTGGGTTTTCTCCGGGTCCTCCGGTTTCCTCCAACTGCTAAAGACCCCTAAGCAAATTATTGAAATAAAATTAAACCATGTGTTAGTCCCGAAATGACCTAGTTTGTGTCGAGTGGACGTTAAACGCCATTTCTCTCTCTCTCTCCCATAAGGTTGGACAGGCGGCCCTACTCCTTGTCATGTACAACCTGGGAATCGAAACCACGCCAGTTGACTCAATGACAGACCTTATGATACAATGCGCACATCCAACCCCCCTTGAGTTAGAGACTTGCCTCCTTTAAACTGGACCCAACACAAGCCAGTGGCAATCAGGCGTTATTATTTGTCTAATGGTGCACATGTAGCCGACATAAAACAAACATTAATTTTATAGCAGTATTTTATTGCGTCAATATCTTTCAAAGCAAATTTATACAGACAATATAACAAATATGATTGATATAAATAATTTGAATAATATTTTAAAATTATATCCCAACATTTTTGACTTAGTATAGACCAGCTACATCGAATGGAATAATTAAATGAACACAATAACATCATTTAAAGTCTCCAGACTTGAATTTTAAAGGCATATTAATAATAAGACATTAATATCACAATATCATTTTAACATAAATTGATGGACCGGCATAACCCAGGTCTTCTGAGGTCTTCGTGATAACGAAATTAAAGGGTACTTATATTCACCCACACTTGACATTGACCTCGCATCCGTCCCCTCTCTGTACAAGCTTAAAAGCTCTATAAGATATAGTCCTATGCAATTAATAGGTAAAGTTAAATTCTGACATAGAGTTGTCTGTTAAAGATGCATTATGTAAGATTTTGTTTGGTAAAGGGATTACCATAATAGTTCAAAAATAGATAATTCAAAATGAATATATTGAAAATTTCATTCAAATTACTTTATTCTGAGCAACGTTATCACTGAAGTTTTGACATAGATTGTTTATTATTGTAGCAACGTTACTTGTTAATTAAGAATCATTGTTAAATTAAATCATTAAATGGCGATCTTATTTTAATCTGTGTACATCTGCACCATTTGATGGTTTAGAGAATTGATTATAGGCTTGTCATGTGAATAAATGTCTAAATAATAAGCCAAAATAAAAACCTGTAATAGGCAGATTTAGCTCTTACATAATGCATCTTAAAGAGCTTGTGAAATCAAACAAGCAGTTAGTTGACCAACTCTTGATTGAAGTAAAATATAGTAGAAGACACAAAAATTTCATTCCATCCAATTCTGAGAACTGATATATTTTGTTTTTCAAATAAACCAGTCATCAGAAAGTAAAATATGCTTCAAAATGTCTGTGTCATAAAAACAGTAGGGGAGCTGGATAGTCGAGTGTAAGGGAACTGGATTAGATTGCCCAGAATCCCAATGTAGACTGAAAAGAATCTTGTTTATTTCATACCTGATTCCCACTCAGGACCTGCAGGGCTGGCAAGTAAGGTATTGCCTAGTCATTCAGATGGCCTAAAAACAAAGGTCCACTCATGTACACATTAATGTGCACGTCAAAGAAGCATTCACAGTTGTAATTTTTCAAAGACCAGAGAGAAGTCCCTGCTGTCTTGGAAAAATTCTCTTTCCTAGCATTGCACGCATGACCATATAAACAGAATAACTGTATGATAGTCTCAAAATGACAAAAGTATTAAGTTGATGAGACATTGAATAACTGTAGGTAATTATAAAGTTCTGTAAGTAAATATGATTAAGCTCAAATATCAAATGATCAATATATACATGTAGAAGCACTATAGAAGGAAAGAGATATGTGATTACCCTTTTTATAATAAGCACTATAATATTTTTAAATGATGATAGTTATTCTGATGCTCAACTCACAAAATACACATATATACATCATTAACTTCAACAATTATATAAATACATGTAACTCAATAATAATAAGCAATTATTACATACAGTAGGCCCTTAGCAACAAAATGGTTGCCATGTTAAAATAAAAACAACAATCAAGCAAAACAAAATAACAATACTTCCACACTGAGAGTCGTTCACATTATAATGATTACCATACACAAAAACTCATTTGAACATTTTCTCCAGTTTATCTGCAATATTATAAATCTTTCAGTCAACCTTGATGGAATTTATGGAGCAAACTGTGAGCTCTTCACAACACCTTTTGCATAACATTTACTATACAAAACCAAGAGTTCATTGTTTTCATAATATGAATTGCTGCTGAGTACATGGTTCAGGCGAGGCACTACAACTGTTTTCTTTTTTGGCCTTGATTTTAAGCCATGTTTCGCCACCAAGCGCTTTCGCAAAATGGTCATCCACAGTTCCTGTAAACATATCTAAGGCGACCAGGTCATTTTTTGCCTTTATAGCTGTCCATGTGGTATCGCCGAGTGATTTAGCGAAATGATCATCAACACTGCCTGTTAAAAATAAAAGATTTGATACAATTTAAACATACATTATGCAAGAGCTAAATCTGCCTATTTCAGGTCTTTCTTTAGGCCTGAAATGTTATCTAAATTATTAATTAGACATTAATTAACCTATCCAGGCCATAATCAACTCTAGATGGCAGCGCTAGCCTGCGATCTTTAGTGGATTGTAAGCCGATTTACTGCACAACTTTCCTTCTCGATTAAACGATTAAATGGATAATCGAGACTATGCTGTGAATCGTACTGACTTTAGTAATGATGACCGAGGCTTATGGGAATTTCAGTCGCTTTGTTCTCAGTTCATAGTGGATCATATTTGAATGAAATTTTCACCAAATTGCCTTTACATTATCTAGTTTTTAACTATTATAGTGAGAACTGCCAACTCGTTACCAAGTCTCCCATAATGTATCTTTAATTAGAGAGAATGGCATTCAACCCCTCATAAACAAATTCAGAACGATACGATAATTTTTATTTCTATAGCTTCTTGTACAATGTGTTGGGGTATAATTACCACATTTCTGCCTTTAATTACAACACTTCTTCGAATTTCTTCCCAGCCCAAAGACTAGAAATACTTTTTATGAATGCCCCCCCCCCCCACCACCACCAGGAGCCACACTTGACACTTAAGGTTCTTCTCCAGTTATAAGTCGAGAGAAAGATCAAATTTCTTTTGTACTTGAAAATTATACGAGAATACTTGTCAAAATGTTGTGGTATATGTGTATAAACCAGTTATTGTTTTCCCTACATGGTGTTGCAGGGTCCGCACAAGCCTATGTGGCGCCCCAAGGCAAAAGTTTCAGTGCCCCCCCCTCCGCCCCCAACTGTTTTGTTCGGTGCATTTTAAAATACATTTATACTGATAACACTTTATCTAAATATCCATTTAACTAAATAACTAAATGAATTTGGGAGTCAAATTTGAAACTATAGAAGGGAGATAACTCCATATAAGCAGTAAATCCTTTGTCTTGAACAGGCTAGGTACAATAACAGAAGTGGATTATAGTGGAAGCACTATAAATGCTAATCAAGGAAGAAAGCTTGACAGAACCCCTCAGACATGGCCTCGAAGTCTAGTGGAAGGGCTCCCTTAGTCCTCGAAAATGGCCCCTGCGTTCCACTATGGGTCAGGAGAGAAAGGATACACGCTCGTTTTACTGTGCATAGAGTTATTGCTTTTGAATGATAAAGATCCCAAATCAATGACAGAAATAGTTTAATTTACCTGCTATAGAGTTATTAGGATCATCTGGAGAGGTAAAATCTATAGGAGATACATCTGTGCCTGTATTTTGTGAGACTGCTTCCTTTCTATAGGTAGTACCTAATGAACGGCGGAAATGTTCATCTATCAAAGGATCTGTAACCACTGCTAAAACAAACAACAATTCAACAATAAATATATTGAAAGAAAAACAGATTAACTCAAAACAAGTAACACAAGCCACAGTGAGGCAGATGTCCCCTGCCAAAAAATAAATAAATAATCTTTAATTTTTCATAAAACATAGAACAATCAAATTGCCTATCACTCTGCTTAACCAGAGCAGAAAATGATCATCATCCATCTCATTCCTAAAATATTTTACACAAAGACAAAGTTTGAACATTCTACCTCAATTCTGTTATTATGTCCCAAAAAGTGTAAGACGGACAGAAAGACCCATTTACTATGTCCCAAAAAGTGCAAGATGGATATACAGACGGATAGACAAACAGATGGATAGACAAACAGATGGATAGACAAACAGACAGACAAACAGACAGACAGACAGACGGATAGACACAAAAATTTTTTTTTTAAATATTTGTTTCCATTAAAAGGCAAGCGACAAAAATAAAAACAAAGAGGGGGGGGGGGGGAGGGCATGGTTCGTTCAGTTCACGGTGTTGGCTGCTTTTATTACATTGTGACATCATTCATAAGTTCATGCCATAAACTAATCTGCCATTTTCAAATTAGGCTTGGTGACGCTTGACTTAAGCAACGATCTGCAGACAATAATGGCACATTCAATAACACTGGCTTGTATTCTATTTCACTTAATCAAACCAGAGGTTTACCAGCGCTTGGCTCACACAAGAAAATGTTGACAAGCCACTGAAATCATTTTTTTTTTATTTGTGAGAAAATGGGCATACTACCTAGAATCTATAAACCATATTTGTAACAATCAACAATAGTACATGGTTGAGTGTTCTTACACTTTAAAAGATTCAAATACCGGTAGTATTGTGTTCTTATTAGCCGAGTACATGTAGATCTGATAGCTACATGTAAAATTTAATAGATTTTATAAGTAAAAGAACAGACTGTTATGACCCAAATTTGTACAATAAAAACATTCATGAAAAATTTGTAATATTTCTATATACAATTGAATTTAACTTTATGACACACATAAATGAATATATTTGGACATTTTGAAGATCAAAGAGATTTGATGGTAACATATGTTCATCTATTAAATATTGATTATTTAAAAAAAAAAAATAAACAACATTCCACAGAAAGTTAGTGTACTGAGTCATATGTAATATAGTACATGTATTATATGTCATAAAATATATATTCATTCTCAATGTGTTACTATATTATAGCCTTTTTATGTCTGCTCCAGACCCCTACTTGTCAGAGATTTGTTTACTCAAAAAGCGAGCAATAAACAAATCTAAAACCCTTACCACTTTGTATTATCTCTGGTTGCTTGAAATCAATTTCACAAAAATATATGCTCACAAATAAAAGATATGTTGCCAGGCAACAAAACATACGCCCACAACAGTTAAATCGTCCAGGCAGTAAACAAGAGTTGTCGCATATTATAATACACTGATTAAGAGTAACAACTCATTAAATAATTAACAGAAAATCATCAGAATTTGTCTGGCTTTATAAAGTTCTGCCCCATGCTAATGTTTAGTATACAAAACATTTAATATCATGGATTTAGCTGTTCGAGTTATCAAAAATCAGTGTATCAATCTAAAAGTCAACCGAAACGATTATATTATAGGTGTCTTCGTCTCATGAACGTAAACACAGTGTATGAATATAAAATCAATCAGATGATAACTATGGTCGCTAAAGCATCCACAAGGGCCATAACTCTGGCAGTAATTATCAGAAATCGTTGAAAATCAATAGGATTCTTTGTTTCATGACCTTAAACACTAGTCTAGAGATATCTCTTGTAATATTCCTCATTTTCTTCATGAATGAAAACAACCCTTTGGAAATCATCGGTAAATTAGTAGAAAGATTCTTATTGATTTCCCTTACAGTTTGGTCATTTAGATTATTTGCATAATTTCAGGCAGATATATAAGTAATTGTTGAGTTATAAACAATTTGAGATTCAATTTACTAATTTACATCCATCTTCATTAGTCTGGTTCATGGAAAAACATAGGGCATAAAACTTCATTTAGACATGTTATATTTGCTTTCAAGTAGAGGTCTGATTAGAGGTTTCTGTGAATATGGTACTATATGAAGTTGATTACATTTATTTTCTTATTTACAGTTACAATATGTCTTTAAATTATCAATAATGTAGATAGTAAAGCAATTTTTTCAAGACTATCAAATGTGGACTGAGGTACACTCAATATCCTAGACTATCCAAGGAACACACACGCCAAGTTTCATGTCACCCACAAGAGGGAAAAAAAGAAGATAAGCAGTGGGTGGGAACCAACAAATCAAATTCCCCTGACCAAAAATCTGATTAAAATACAGATCTATATTTCGTTTCAATTTTTTTATACTTTTGATGGCCTACACTACATGAAGATCTGACCGGTTGTAGTGATAGGTCGCCTCAGAGGTCATACGAGCAGCTTTTGACCCTATGACATCAGACATTTGATTAACCAATAAGCAATGATGTTTCTAGTGGATTACCCACAGTTCCGTGCACCACACGCCAAAAGTTTGCTGTAACAGACCGTTTCATTACCTAAACCCTCACATCATCCAGAACACGTCAATGATAACAACTCTTCCAGATCCTAGTGCAGTAAAGACAAGTAAAATGAAATTTTGAACTATAAAAAACGAAACGAAATAGGATCTGTGTTTTAATCAAATTACCTAACCAATAGTATCTGGTATTCTGGAAACAGTAAGCACAATGCTTGTCGTAACTTTTATCTACCTCAACTAAACCTGAAACTGGTGAGGAAGAGACGAAAATTATTTTTAATTAAGATATTTACCTTTTGTTTGAGATGTATTGATACTGGTAGTGTGAGGAGAGACAGGATATCTTGGTGGTAGAGTTGTTGGACAGGTTAATATATCCGACCTGTATTGTATAGCCACATTGCTTTCTCCAGTATTATTAGTATTTGATAGTGAGAGATTAAGTGGAGACTTCTGTTCATGCAAGTCTACAGAAATTGGTAGTGGTGGTGGTGGCGGTGGAGGGGGGAGACAATTCTCATTTTCATAATAATATGATCTATAATTGATGTCATTTCTACCATTTATACTTGACAGCTGCCTGAAATATACAATCGTAGAAATCGTTTATCATTTTTTTCCACTTGATTCATTTTTTTATGTGCTCACATTTTCATGTGGACGTATATTGTCGTCGCCCCTGTCCATCCGTCCACAATTTGTTTGTGGACACTCTACAGGTCACAATTTTGATGAAACTCGAAATATAGGTCTACATGTATCTCCCAAGGATCTCGGTTCCTTTCGGTATTGGCATGTAAGGGATCGCAACTTCGGGGATTATCACATGGTCCTTGATTGTACAAAAAATCACATTTTTAGCTTGTGTACACTCTAGAGGTCACAATCTTCAATAACCCAATGATCTTGGCTCCTGTCGATATTCGTGCATATCGGATTATAACTTCCTGGATTATGCCCCTCATAGTAAGAAAAATTGGGGTTTTAGCTTGTGGTCCCCCTAGAGGTCACAATTTTTATCTGATTAAAAAGAAACGATTCAATATATCACCATTACACCATAATGATGGTTGAGTTCAGTTTAAGTACATGTATATCCCTGTTACAACTCAATGAAGGTTGAGTTCAAATTTTGTAAAAATGTGACTGATACTGCCTGACAAAATGCCAGCTCCTTGTACACAAATAGTCTAAAAGTATGTAATACCATGGACCTTATAATACCAAGGTTGTGGACCCTCTACAAGTCATTATTTTTTTCTGATTTTGACGAAACTTGAAATGTATGTTTATAACCCAAAGATCTCGGTTTCTGTCGATATTCGCTCATATCGGACAGTAACTTCCTGGATTATGGCCCCTGACTGTACCAAAAATAGTGTTTTTACCTTTTTGTATTCAATTTTAAAAACCTTTTCAATATATCACTGTTACGCATCAATGAAAAGAGAGAGAGAGAGTGAGAGAAGACACAAACTAGGTCTTTTCAGGACTATAACATGGTTCAATTTTATTTCACTAATTCGCTTGCGCAGTGGTAGGAAAACTGAGGACCCGAAGGCGACCCTACTCCTTGTCACATACAACCGGGGAATCAAAACCGCGCCACTTGACTCAATGACAGACCTTATGATAACGTGCGCATGTGCTAACCATTCGGCCATTCAACTCCCCCACATCAATGAAGGTTGAGTTTTTATTTTGTGACAAAATGGCTGCCCCTTTACGCAAACAGTGTAAAAGTATGTAACACCAAGGAACTGCTGGTTTGATCAGTTACAAGTTTTGACAACCTTTTTCTCTTTTCTGAGAAACATAATTAAGAATCCATTTTTCAAATTTAGTGGTGCAAGACTATTTAGAACATTAAAATAGCACTCCAACTTTGATTATGATCCACATCATAATTTGTGATTCACTGCAGAAAGTCCAGTTTAGAAAATCAAGGTATTGAAATAATGAACTATACACCATTAGAATCTGAGTTATTGTGTCACAGAGCATCAACACATCAAATTGCTTATTTCTGTTTAGCCTGAACAGAAACTGCTCATCAGTCAAGACATTTACCTAATGAACATTCTACCTCAATTAGAATACTGTAAAGCTTTGACCATCGCTAGGAAATTTAAATAAAACAAAAAGTCAAAGTAACTTATAATTAAACATAGATTCGAATGAAATAATATTGTTTTAAGAAAGGGACAGTGGTGTAACAGAGTGGGGGAGCCGTCTATAAGTACATGAAGGGGCGGAATTTTCCTCTCAACACTGGCCTATAATACCCATTAAATAATTATGCCCTTCCCTTTTTTTTTTTTTTTTTTTTTTTTTTCAAATATAAATTTCTGCTCAAATGCTGAAATTATGCATGTTATTTGTTGAAAAAAATTAAATATATTTCATTTTCTTCCGTTATTGAGCAATATAATAAAATTTAATAATATTAATATAGGCTGAAATAAACCTTGCTACATCATGAGCATTGCGGCAAACCAATAAAAGTGGACAAGCATATACTGGTTTCCAGTATAGTATCTTTTAGAAACAATGAATTATTCTTACGTTTGTGTTCCTGCTGTTGTTTTCTCAATACGTAATTCTCTAAAATGTCGTTCATCAATTTGAATTTCCGATGAGCCAGATATATCTTTTAACCTGTCTGTTTTAAAACACTTGGCTCTAACTTCTCTGTTCGGTGAATCTCGTGGATCAATCTGTATACATCTCTTATAAAATGAACCTAAAAAATAATACAAGATAACAAAAAATCAATAAATTATTATAGAATTTTTTTTACCTACATTTGTATGTAAAACTATTGTATAATTTTATATATAGTTTACTTGAATACATTAATAATAATAATGAAGAAAAGGCCTGGACCACCTAAATTCTACAAGAAACAGAATTCCTCATCTTACTATCCCATATGAAATCAGTTTTCTGTACATTCTGTATATTAATATTTTGATATAAAACGTTCATAAGGAATAATTCTATTCTCTACTTTCCTGAACAAGCTAGAATCAATTCAATATTTACATTCATCATAAAGATATGAAATGACTCATACAATTGGTACTCACTGTTAATTTCTGTGGTTTCCAGCATGGAAGCTGCTCTTGATAAGACATCTAGTGGGGTCTCCATTTGACTAGCTATCATTCACTCAAATATTTTTACTGTAAAATCTATTCTATTTAATCATAGATTTGGAATCCATATCAAGATATTTCCTATTAATATAGGACCCTTTGTGAATTTACTCAAAAGCTATATGCCCTATTTTTTTAATGAAATAGATCTCTTGTAAATTCATAAGTTCGAGAAATATTTGAAAAAAAAAAATCTTTTTCAATGAATGTTTCTCGTACGATGTTTTTGTCACAACAGAACAATATTAGGTCTGTTTAATCGTTCATTTCTTTGTTAAGCTCCTTGACTAAGCAAAGAATGTAAGGAATTTGCAACCCGCTTGGGCCTTCACTTGGTATTGCTGGCTATGGCACTCCGCCGACGCTTCGTGATCTCGTATCGGTCGTATACTAGTGGTATGTTACAATGTAGTACAATGTGTAGGTCTACCGGTACAATGTTGAAAATATTGGACCATAACAGTTCTGTTAAGAAATAAAAAAGAAAAAAAGAACAGTTTAGTGCCCTGGCCGATTTAATAGTACACAGTATTAATACGAATTAATCTACAAGTGAATATTTCTTTAAAGCTTTTACATAAATTGAGAAAAATGACTAAAAATGTTACCTTCTTTTCACAACAGCGGGTTGGTATGCATGGAATTCATACCACAAGTCACATGACTAGCTGGGTCACATGACGAACAAAATGTCGCTGCAGTGCCAGCAAAAATGGCTTTGTTCAGTGATGCAACTAAAATACGACTCCAGTTTTTAATAGATCGTATTATATGCAAGGGCACCGTTTCAGTTGAGTGTTTAACATAACATAAATACCAATTTCTGATGTCTATTTATAAAATGAAAGTATATCAAGCCCGGTTGCCCTCCTTCGATCCTATATATATATAATAATAATATGTAAATTTTACACGAATCGGATTTTTATTAATACCAATGATTGGTGCTCGGAAATGAATTGAAGGATACAGCCCAGAATTTGAAGCATAAGCTCTTTTGTGGCGTAGTTTTAACCCGTGGTATAGAAAAGAAATATTTGTTTACCGAATGGCGGGTCGAACGTCAAAGTAATATTCCGCCTCTGAAGTATGTGCGGATATCCGATCCAGACAGGGTGTTCAGTGAAAAGATAATTGGGAATATAAATTAAATTATGTATGTTCAGACTATACCGTAATTGGTATAAAGAATATCGCTACAATATTCACGACAAGGTATGATAGTTTTGACATTTATTCTCTTGAGGTGCTATTATTGGTTTTATATTGTCTGTGGTCTTGTTCGTGTCTGGCTAATTGGTTGATTTTATTTCTATAAATGTTACTTTCCAGACCGATGATTTTTGTCTTCATTTTTTTTAAAGCACAGACACAAGTAATTGGGGACATTTTTATATACTTTTTATGTTTTGGTTACCGCGATTGAAAACATCGGAAATGTAGAAATTCTGTTTCTATGATATCTTCCAGGTTAGACTTAGCCAGGGAATAGTGACGAAGTTTACATTCACCGTCCGGCCAAAAACATAACCCAAATGCTAAAAATTAATGCATTGATTGACGATACAGTAAGCTCTATAATATTACCTTCTACTTATAATTTATGTGCGTTGACTGCGTAATAGAGTCAATAAACCAAGGGAAATAACTCCATTATATCATTTTATGGGTTCAGACTAGTAATTATCTTCTATTGACTTCAATGTTCGATCCATACTGATAATCTCTATCTTTTTAGCCACAAAGAGACCGACCATCTGATAAAGATATTGAAGGTGGTTGCCGTCTTGATCATGAATATTCACCAAAACCTTGCAGAAAATGTAACTTCAAACACCGTTCATCGATTCTAGACTAAAACATCAACACAGCTTCCCAGGTAATAGAGAGAAAAAGAACGAGCGAGTTGCTATAAATAGACGAACTTCATGAGAGGCAAAAATCAATTCTACCATCTTCTTAACGTGCAAAGGGGGGCGGGGAGCATATTATATTATGCGAACTTGCCTGAAAAAACACGGTTCATACCACTGGAAATGGTATGGCCTTGGGAAAGTCACTATGATATATCCCAGTTGAACACGTCATGTATTAACAGCAAATACGAGTATGGCAAACAACTAAATTATATGAAATTCAAACCGATCGAAGTTGCACACCTTTTAATATCGCGATTATTTTCTATGAGCCTTTGTTTGATAACCGATGAAGAAACTGTCGATCATCGGTAACTTTGATAGAATATCAAGATGATTATGCTGATTGAATATTGATCTCTAGCGAGACAACCTTGCTTGTAGATAATCAACCGTGCAATGATAGACATGTTAATACATATACAGTGTAACCCATAATGGTCAAGGTCACTTGTTGTTTCATTGGACCTTTACCAACTTAATTGATTAATTCTTGAATGGTGTATATAAAATTGATAGGATAGGTAATTATAAATATTGTAGCTATTGCGGCTTCTATACATTCGGTAATGTTTATTGCCCACTCTCGATCGTCTAGATCTCTGTGATACAATCGACATTCCTATATAAATTCAGATAATTTCTGACCAGTTTGGAATATTTATCCGAATATTGATTAAAGCTTAATAAAATATAACGTCACTGTTAACATGTAACCGTGGAAGAAATAGGAAATGCCTAGAAAAATCCTTCCAGATTGGACAAGCTACACATTGGCATGTACAAACGTGGGATGAAACCGCGGCAATGGTGATCAACAGCAAAACGCCACTCACGCACCACCATGCACACTGGACCCTAGGGACCCCCTCCTGGAAATTAACAAAATGAAATCCCCATATTAAGACCACCTGTGAAACTGTCTAGATCTGGTCTTAATAGTGTGGTGGTCTTGCTACTGAGTGAGCATTCTTTGGGCAATTTGAATGAAATACTGACACAGTGTTATGTAAATTGTTATGTATTTTGTTATGTATATTTAGGCATTTTTATTATTTATTTTTTTAGTCTAAGTTAAGATACTAATATTACAAAGTATAAACAAATACATGTAATAATAATTATACATGATAAAAAAAACCCAATTATTAAGTGATTGAACTTCCTAGATAATTGAGAAATGGTATGATAGCCTCACTATCTGAGGATAAAGGAAGTAAATTATAGACTTATGTCTACTGAGTTATATATACATTACTGGAAGAAACCATAAACATTCTCTGCTGTCGTTTTTTTTCTTCTTCTTCAAACGACTTAGATCTCTAAAATGCCACCACAAATCAGCCCTGAGTTTGCTTGGCCATTTGTATCTTACTACAATAGACAATTGAATTAGTGTAATGCAGGTTTGTCTGCGCAGAATATCAATCTTGTGTGTCAAACTTTACTTTTCTTTCGTGTCTTGTTTGGACTAGCATGGCACAGCCCTTGACCACTATTAATACAGACATCTTCAATCCACAGACGAATTATAATTTGTTACAACTGCGTACATAAAAGAGATGTCGCATCTAATAAATGATAATAAAGACATTAGAAAAAGTTCAGATTTCCACGTTTAAGTGCTACCCTCAATTAAACCATGCGTTCATAATAACACCAATACTGACACATCTTACGTTTGTAGTAAATCGGCCAAATTTGTTTATTTGGTTTTTCGAAATGAATTTTGTCTGAATACCAGCTACCACTTGCCGTTTTAATAAAGAGTTTCGCACTGATCATAACATTTTATATTCATGTAATTTTGGGTATATGTTTTGCTTTGGTAGCTGGAATCGGTTGTCTGTTACAGGTGAGGGGTTGGTGAGGGTTTGGCGTGTGTGTATGTCGGGGGGGGGGCAAGATGTCTCACGCGTGTGCTTTACGTCACAGGTTCTCTCATTGAGTCAAGTGACGTGGATTTGATCAGAAGCTTGTACGTGACAAAGAGTAGGTTCGCCTGCCCAACCTCGTGTGTTTTCTCCCGTTCCTCGCCCCCACCTGAAGACACCTACATGTACTCTGGCTTTTCGAGCTGTCTCCATTGATTTGACCTTAGTCTGTGATTATATCTCAATTATTAAAATGATTTATAAGATTTCGAAGGTCGTCTGACATTAAAACTGTCGCTATTCTAACCGACAATCAATTTTGTAGCTAATGACTTCTGTAATGGTGGGTGTACACTTTGATGACGTCGATCAGGCTGATAACAGTTGTATGTTTAGCTACAATTTATTCCACATGTTTGGCTTTTAAACACATCAGATTATTATGGAAATATACACCGACCTTTAAAAGACATAGTCCACATAGTTTGGATAGCCGACTTATTCTGTGTGTACGTGACGTGTTGCATTGACCGATTCCTTATCATAGAATTATTGGTGCACTCTATCAGCTTAATATCAAGCCACAGAACAAAGACGGGTTTATTTTCAAAATCATAAAAAAAGATCAATTGGGGAGGCTGGTTATATGATATCACGAGTTCGTCAGACATTACGCATACGGTTACTTTTCTACTTGTTACTTATCCCGTATAAGGATACATTGTGAAATTGTTATGGAAAAGCATGATTTAAAGGAGGCAAAATCTTTAACTCAATGTCATCCAAAGTCTTCGACATTGCAAACATGACTTATTGGTTAATTTAAATCAACATTGATGTTGTTATCCTACCGTGATAAGATGGGCTTCTGATATCCAATATTTAAGACAAAATAAAAAATTGAAAATTGGCACACGAATGGCGTGCCAGAATGCTTTTGGGCACCATTTGTAATGAAGCGACCAGATGAAGGAGGCTAAACATATCCCACATGAGAATTCTACCGGTGTAGACTGCCATTCAATTTGGACTCTTCGTGTATTTCGCCGAACATAACTGATTAGAAATTACAGTAAAAAAGAAATGATTTAATGTTAATCAGTTTATATACATTCATGTTACATTAATATATGCACTGCTACCCATTTATGTCCCTTTTTAGGTGCCAAAGAGTAGAGATTTAGCACCTTTAAAGTAGTCTAATTTAAGAAAAAAAAACTGGTTTTGCTTAAAGAGTCTGCGTTCAATAAACGTGCAATAACTTCAGGATAAACCAAGTATATACAGTGGTTTTACATTAGATCAAAAAAAATTCTTCCAATGTCAGTTCTTGGGTAAAATAAATCAATAAAATAAATATAACCTGCGTTATTTCTTTTTCGAAACTCAACCAATCAATTCAACATTTTTATTAAACAGGGTGTATATTTAAACATTGAATCAAATCGATACCTTACTGATTGTGCCGTGCACATGGAACCGGGATAAACCGGGTACCTAGTGAAACCTCAACACCGGGCCAATATCCATATCTACATGTTTATAGTGTATCTATGAACCCGAATGATTGTATATAATTATATCTAAATTTTCCAGCCTAGTTATTCCCTTGTCAGTGGTGCAGAACGCAAGGCCTGGCAAAGAAAAGCGTCTACTCTTTCTGGTGGGACGTAAAACTGAGACCCCGTGTATACCATCGGCAGCACGTTAAAGATTCCTTAAATCTGGAACTCGAAATAAGAATAGGCTGTAGCGCGGTACTCTGGGCAAAATTTCCCTCATAGCACAACCCGTATGCTAAACCCCATTCCATTTCATCTGTATGTTTATTACAGTTAGCGAGGTCACGGTGGCTAAGTGAGTAAGGCGCTGGCTCACTAGCCTGGAGGTCGGGTGTTCGATCCCTGCATTTGCCGAGAAAGTTCATCCAGATTTTCCCGCGTAGTTCCCTCTTGTCAGTGATGCAGGACGGAGGGCAGCTGTCTAGTCGTTCGGTTAATACGAAAAACCGACGTCCCCTGTACACATTGGCGTGCACGTAAAAGATCCCTCGAAGTTGGAATTCGATATAAGAGTAGGTCGTAATGCCGCTTCCGGACAAAATTTCCCTCATAGCACACTGTATGGCGTATGCCCGTCTTCATTAGCCCAGTTCGGAGCAGAAGGGCGTTAAAACCCATTTCATTTGTATGTTTGTTACAGTTCAAAACGCTAATTCAACTACATAGTAAATATGATTTTGTTACACCAGAAGTACACATGTCAAATCATTGTAATAAAAATGAAATACAAGTTCCACATACTATTATTGAAAAATAAATCAATTAATTGTTCGCGTCTCCACAAATAGATTAAATTCTATCGATTTATGGCAGTGTGTATTTAGTCATCTTTTATATCTCTAACCTGTTCATTGTGTAAAACGTTTCAAAAACAATGTAAAGGTTTGTCTTTGTATGGACTGTGATAGATTAAATATACAAAACGATATTTCAACAACGATCATATCAGAGTCTACTAGCAGTAGGAATGGATTTGAGGAAAAGGTAAATCAGTAATGTACATTTTTCTTACAGTATTAACCAGGAATTTACTCCAGCGTATCTCTGTTTTCATATGGAACCTATTTGATAACAGGCGAGAATGTTGCTTCACTTTTTTTGCTGTCTGTTTGTGAAACACTTTGTAAGAGAGTCTTTCAATCACCCAAGTGTTTATTATTAGTGTAAAATCTTTGATCTTGTGACGTGTTTCTTCTTTATTTACATTAGTTGTCGCTCTTACTTACATTGCTCCTGTAATATATTATATTAATATATTGTATATTATATTAATAGCATACATATAAGTAAAACAGGGTATATACCCAGTTAAATCGGGCACCGAATCGAACCCCGGCGACAGTTCTGACTGAACCATGATAATAATCATGTCTGTGTGGATTAAGATCTGTGTTGGTAACAGACATCCTGTCAATCTCTAATAATTCACACGTAGTCTGATGTATGATATAATATTTCGAATGGCAATTTCAATCACGACAGAAGTTTGCTATCGTCGTCTCCATGACCTTCTTGAAGCATAGTCTAAATAATACCAATCCAGTTCCTGCAAGGAAGGAGACAGGGGAGCGACGCCCCTAGTAATCAATTTCCGAGAGATATCAAATCAAAGGGTGGAATTAGCTGCCCTACTTAATTAGAATATGTTTTTTTTTAAATTTTATCTGTTATTTACATATATAAAATGTCTTCCTTCCTCACATTTCTGAGTACTACATAACCAAAACTCTGCACGCCACAAAATGTACTTCTCAAATCTCCCTAACACATTGTTCAAATGGATTCGGTGTAGAATCCATTGAAGAATATAGAAACGTCGCTGCCAAAGACGATGGGATATCTTGCCCTATTCGTTATATTTTCCTATAAAGAAATCACTTTCAAATTGGAAATAACATCTACGTTGGCATCTTTCCTGAAATACATGAACGCAACTATCTAATTATTCTGTGAACACTAGATAAGATTAGACATAATAATCAATAGTTTTATTTAATTTTTCATGGCTCACCTTTCATTGAATAAAATCCTAAAAATTAAGTATTGCGATAAAAGAAAAGTTAACTATCAATAGTTTAATTTTTCCTGGTGCGTCTTTCATTAAATACACTCATAAAAATTAATTATTCCGACAAGACCACCAATAGTTTTATTTAATTTAATTTATCGTTTAAAAACATTTGGCAAAGCAATATACGGGTATTGGATCTACCTTTCCCAGTTCTATAATCACATCATCATTAGATTAGAGCCAGCTATCGTTTAATTTAATCGTACAAAGTATGCAATTGGTTGCAGATGGTACCGAAATCGATGCCCTCATAGCAGAGCTGCTGTGCATTCTTCGTATGGAAACAACTTCTGTGGATTCCACTAAAATGTCTTAATTAATAAAAGACAAAGCCGGTCGATTATTTAATCAACGAACGATTATAATTATTGTTATCATTATACGTAACCATCATACCATAGCTGTTAACATTATTAGTCGGACTCCGTTATCATTACTTGTGCATTATTGACGGTTGTGCAAGAGCGGCGGCGTGTTGTCAGTCATATAGACCCGACAAGGTATCTCGAGATCTGCACATATCCGTTAGCTTGGTATATAAAAGACTTCTCGGCACGCATCCCAAATCATTGCCGATTCTTGGCGATCGTCTGTCTAACAGTCAACGTTAAGTAGATGGTAAATGTACGTGTAGTTTCGAGGTTGTAGAGAAATCCCTTCAACTTTTTAGGTGTGTTTCTTGCAAAACATTATCCAACTGATATTTGAAACATAACAAAAAAGACATGGCAGAGGATGACAAGCCTGATATGTCTAATTTCAGAGTGATTGTGTTATTAGCTGTCGATGAAACGGAATACTCCGAATATGCCTTTAACTGTGAGTATAACCTTTTTACGTTTGTCCGTCAAATATCAAGAATGGATGATGTAATCAATTTCGGTAAAGTGTGGACTTTTTTGATGAAATTAAGGCTGTTAATATATATTAATTAGATGACAAAAGAGATTGTTAATTAATTACTCAGGATTTACAGGTTACTTAGTTTATGTTCAAGCTATAACAAAAATAACGTCTGTTAGCATTAACTCGCTTGCTGTATTACATTTCTAACATATCATGGTTGTTATATACCGTGTAAAAATACACGAGGATATTCTGATAAATGTAGCTTGAAATAGACAGTCAGTCAAATAACAAGCAAGAGCTTAAATATAACACAGAGATTTGTATAGTACTGATCTGAATAATCTGATTTATAAGATACGACGCTAGAACGGAATACCATAATTACACAGTATTTGAGCGTTCTGGTATAACGACTATACATACCCCTTGATTCAATCTGATTTTAATCTAAGCAATTAGTGTACATTTACATCAAATAGATGTGGACAGAAGATACTTTATCGTTAATGAATTATATTTTTTTAACAGGTGCACCGTGCACGGGACCTCAAGAATTCTTCCGACACTAATGGCATCCGTTATAAATTCATTATTTATGGTTCTAATTCTCGTACCGACGCCCATCTTGTTTCTAAAACACATCTGAATTTAATAAAGGTTAATTACTATTATAATGATGTCCGGTACGTGCTTATAGAACTGCAAATATTTATCTTTGATATCCTGACTTCGGTCAATCACGTTGTAGCCATATGTATTGTCTACGCATGCTAGATAAATAAAACCAAACATTTCGTGACACTTTAAATAAAAAAGAAATCAAAGGTCAATTATCTGTCTGAGTAGTTGAATAGGGGTTGATCACGACTGGAAGATCTTGGGCACGAATCTTAAGAAATTATATTGTGAATATTAAATATTCGTTCGATAGGGGATTTGCCAGCAGCAATTTGGGTAATTCGGAACGAATGGGACGGGACGTCTTGCCAACGTCTCTAACAATGTATAAAAACAACGTCTATAATAATTCACTTTAATCAAAACACCATCAGGTACAAACACGTAAGTAATCTCATACAATTAAATCATAACACACCTTCAAAACATACAAAATTAATATCTTCTACGAATCAGTCTTTTACGTGAATTGATACGACGAATTGCATAGTAAGATCAGATCAATTCAACGGTTGTTGTTGTTGGTCCTAGTGTTTAACGTCCGCTTCCACCGAAGGTGATATCGCATACAAGTCTTTTTTTCATTTTTATTATCTCAGCGCACGCGCAGGGGTCTTTCCTGTGAGAGAAAACCAGAGTAACCCACGAGGTTGAGAAGGTGCCCATATCTCCAAGCCACATATGCTCACACCGGGGATCGAAACCACAACCGCAAGCCAGAGGTGACCAGCCAGCTAGAGGTCGAAGCGCGACACTCTATTAGAATTTAGCTGTTATGGCCACACCTTGCTTTGTGATGTTTCAAACTGGTTCTCACTTTCAGGCGTAACACCAATCTGTTTCAGAGCGGTATTGCGAAAGCGGCTTTGTAAAGGCCTAGCGAATATTCACCGCTGATAAGGGGGCGTGATACCTGACTGACATGTAGTATGTTTCTAGTCATTGGAATAGGATCAACCAACATTCATGGTTCTTTTGATCACACCGCGGTAGTGTAAATAAAAAACATGGCATGAGTTTAAATTCAAACAAGAGAGCATAAACGGAAACACATCTGCTTCACCCACCTCCATGTCTTCGTAAACTAAGTTGTTGCCTGTTGCTCCCAAAACTCTTAATTTATTATGTTAGATTTAAGTAGGGAACCACGGTGGCTAAGTGGGTAAGGCGCTCGCTCGCTAGCTTGGAGGTTGCGTGTTCCTCCCTGTATTGGCCGAGAAAGTTCATCGGGATTTTCCAACGTGGTTTCTTCTTGTCACTGGTGCAGGACTGAGGGCCTGACACGGACAGTTGTCTAATCGTTCGGATGGGCCGAAAAACGGAGGCCCCTTGTATACATTGGCGTGCATGTAAAAGATCCCCTGGCAGTTGGGATTCGCTATAAGAGTAGGCCATAGTGCCGCTACCCGGGCAACATTTCCCTCATTGCACACTGTATGGCGTATGTCCGTCTTCATTAGCCCCGTTAGAGCAGAACAGCAGGACTTTAAACCCCATTTCATTTCATTTCGATTCAAGTAAGACAAATTTTACTAATCTCTTAGTGATGTTGAAATGATATGACCTATCAAATGAAATATTATGCCAACGAAACAGTTAGGTTCGACTAAAGCCGAATATCATTAGACTGATCTACGTGGGAATGACCAGAGTAGAGTTTTGATGAGGTATTGAACTCCACTTTTTTTTCCGTTCCATTCTGAAGCGTTGATGGTCTCTGCTATGGTAGCTTTCGCCTTTCGGAATTCCAGGTTAACATTTCTTACCTTGAAAAATAATTCACTTTGTTGTGTTTTTCGTTGCCAGGGCTCTTCTCTAAAAATCTATCTACTTCAGATTTTTATCGTATGATCAATAATGTAAAAAATATTCAGAGTTATAAACTTCATAAAGTATAAAGCATCCTGCCATTTACATTTATATTAGACTCTTATTCATTGACATCAATTAGAGCCAAACTGATTTTAAATGACTTATTATTATCTTTTTAACCAGTTCTCCGATGCACACCGGTTACTTCTTAATCATTTTGTCTCTTTAAAACTGGTTCACCAGAAACACGAACAGAAACGAAGTGTAGATACAATTCTTGAACACTTGTAAGACATGTTTTATAATTCATTTTTATCGGACCAAGAAAAGGGCATATCCGCAGAGAATACTGAACATATAAGTTGTCTCTATAATTGCTTGAATTATAATATAGGGAAAATGTTTGCCAGGAAAAGTGTTGGGACTAATATTTTCTTTAATAAGACAACATTAGTCTGTCACTGTTACAGGGGTGGGACTATTTACCCAATACCACCCCAATACCACCTCAATATCACCACATACTACCCAATACTACAACATAATGATGCAAAATAGACATATCATTTGATTTTTTTCAAAAATAGAGAGTTATATCGCGGGAAATGTACTTCAAATGCGATACCGATGTCTTGCTGTTCCATTTGCCTCTCTATACCACACCAAACAAGCCTATAATAACCCAATACTACCAAATACTCATCAAATACTACCAAATAATACCCAGTATGATCAAATAACAAATAACAGCACATTAGTATAATTACTGCAACTAATATTCGATATTTTGCAGAAAATTGAAATGTTTACCCAGTTATCTCCCTTTACAACCGGTAAATTGATTTTAGATTGTTACTCGGTTTAATCATCTTCTTTGGCTTTGCAGTTGGTTTCCAAGACGACAAACTTAAAATAAGAAAAACAAGTATGACGATGTACCATATTTTATTACCAAAATGACCCATCTGTCTCTTACCACTTGATAGGGCCGTAAGTCAAAGAAGGTGGGTTTTCTCGGGTCCCCCGGTTTCATCTCACTGTTAAACACCCCTTCGTGCAAGCGAGTTAATGAAATAATATTGAACTACATGTATATGTTAGTCCCAAAATTACCTAGTTAGTGTCGATTGTTTGTATTTATTTTAAAATTAATGCTTTAACAAAACAACTGCATAATGTTTATATTCATTTTTTCGTGTCAACTATTAACTTATTCGGTATTTACTTACTGCACGATGTTTTATTTTAAAATTAACGAAATTGCACATGTTTCTTTCCAGTGTGTAAATCTCAGTTCATCCAAACTATTATTTGCGGCCTGTTACAGCTCTGTCGGTTTCTTTGATAATATAAATAAACCAAAACTTGATTACCCAATCAACAATCTTAACCCCATTGATTAATTGTTAAGTCAGGTGGAATGTATATACGAGTAGAGCATTACACATTTGTAATAAACATGTGCATTGTTGTAAACATGTATAATTTCGTAAATTTTAAACTAAAACATCGTCCATTAAGTATATATGCAATAACTTAATCGTTGAGATGAAAAAATAAATATAAACATATGCATATGTGGGAGGAAACTGGTGACCGTGTCTATTCATTTAGGTGGTAATGACATCGCCGCGACATCGTCACATGTGGGTATATACCGTAGAATACTTAGAATTTGTTCAATAGTGTCGATATTGGAAGAATCGCCGAGATTTTGACAAGAGGTTTTTTTTCAAAGACGACTGGTTTGGAACCGGAATAATTTAAAAGACAAAGAAGACGCGTTAATAAGTCATTAAAAGACAGATATAAAGATAAATTCGTGTGCTTTCCTGGCATATTATACCCAAATGATTTTTACAGGACCGCGTGCATTTGTACCAGCGTGTTATACTAAAATCACCAGTTCAAAATGAAAATTTTCTCGATTCTAATTATTAGATATCGTAAAACCAAATAAATTTTGGCCGATTTACAATGGACTGTTTAAATATTAACAGAACCCTTGAAATAAATTTTCACAAAAACCCACGTCGATGCTATATTATGATCCTAGGATATGTCTGTTTCAGACTGCTTGTACTCTTTAATAGTTTCCATATCGCTTTCGAAAACATTATTCCGGCGAACAAAATGCTTTACCTTAAATGAATCATAACTAAGTCTAGCTGATGTAAGAGAATTGTTTGACTTTTTATTAGTTTCTCTATAGGTATGGCCACAATCTGTTTAGTACGCAATTGCTTGGGTGTAAAACAATGATTTCGACATCGATCATTGCATCATTCACCTGGTACGCTATATTAAAAGGCCAAGACAATGTTAAAGGTTGGGAGTACGTGCTTTTCTTCATCATTATTTATATGTAGTGAAATAAAGAAGTCCAGTGAAATATGATGATTCCAAAGGGAGTATATATTATACAACCTATAAGATATTGGAAATTGACATGCTATTATATATACCGACGGTTGAAACGGTTCTTAATCTGCCCACTCATGTCGGTTAAATGTATTTTTCTTGTTTGACATGCCGTTATTTTATATCATATTGTGTAATATTTTTTATAAATTTCGATGCCAGTTGCTCAATACAATTCTTTGGTGTGTTCACTTATTAGCAAAAAAATCAGACACGATAGTTTCCGGATCGGTAACTACATTAGATAAACCCCAGATGACACGTTTTCACCTATAAACGGTTAACTTTATGTAGAAAGAGCCGTAAATCAATCCCTATTATGCGTTGATCGATAAATGTAGCATGGCGCCATTGCGTTACAGATCTGTTTTTCTTATCTTCCACTTAAATGTTCATGTAGCCGTCTTTTGGCTTTAACTAAAATGTAAATTGGTTAAGTAGACTTTTTTTTATTAACGTCTATCCAAATCCTTTAGAAATGTGAACTTTCAAAATAACAACATATTATGTTGGTCTTCGTGCAAAACATACTGAATCCAGATACATGTATGTTCAATCAATGAAAGGGAGCGTTTAATCGACGGATAATGAATTCTGGCATATCACCAGTTTAGTCAACATGGTTTTTTGGATTTTTTTTGATTTTTTTTAATTCCTTCGAAATTCAATCAAAACAACTATTGTAGGTATAAAAATTTACTGACGCCTCATCAGGTGTAAAGTTTACCTAAACAAATTAACAAGGTTCGTGTTAACAACCGTACTAACGAAACCAAAAATGGCTTATACTTAAACTAAATTTATTTTAAACTCAGTAGCGCCAGCTCTTGAAATCCAAGCTCAAAATAATTACATTCTTGTAAAAATACTGTATTTGTTAAGTTTTGGAAATGTTCTGGTTTTTGTCATTGATTCTGGAATTGGATTTAATAATATTTTTATATACTTAGATTGGAATCTTATCGTGTATGTTCGTCCTCCCTGTCAGTGGTTGAAGAGGACGCTTTTTGAATTTCCAATAATTTGTTTCATGAGTTATTGCTGTGAACTTTCTAGCAATAACAGTTATCACCATATCTGTTTGAATTGTACATAAATTTCCACAAGTTTCGAGTTTGACCCTGGTAGATGAAATAGTGATTCTACCTCACTGGTGGAAACATAATATATAACATATTCTGGACACTGAAAAATACGCCGGTGGAAAACAAGACATTCAAATTCTAATCCAAGCTCGAGTAAACAACAGCAAACAAACAAACGAAAAAACGCGAACTAGTCAAAAATCCTACATCTGTTCTTCAATTGCAATTTATTAATATGCCCCAGGTTTATAATAATATAGTATTATATAGTTGTAGATGAATTATGATCGATTAATAATAGAACTGTGGCAGCATACAACAATGATATTAGATTTTATTTAATTAACGTCAACCATACATCATATTAAATCGCCAAGGAAGGTGTATTCTCTTAAGATGCAAATACCTCTATAATGCAATTTAACGAATCAGATAACCTGGAGTGCCATGCTTCACACTGCTGTCGTCAATAGTGTTACAAATGTTTGTGGCAGCTTCACTGGAAATTGATCGGATAACTTGCGTAATAACCGATGTGCCCGAAATGGTTCACACTATTTCCAGCATGGTATTAAGGTGGATTTCCTCAGGGTTCCTCAGTTTCATTCTACAATGATGATCGAATTATTTTCTTCACGATCTGTGCCAAAGGGTAAATTGGATATTCAGGTCTATATTCTCACTTTCAACACAGTAGTACATGTATATATCATATATCATCACCTCCTTCATATTTATATACAGATCAGGTTCTAGTTCCTGGTTTAAGCTCTACTGTAGTTGATGTTTTTGATTACCATACTTGAGTGTTTGTGAGAATATAAATTACACTACATCTTGGCATATGTAATGGCGTTTTAAAGTCACGCTGTCTAGTTTCTCGCATAAAGAAAATCTTATATTTAGACCGACACTAATGATGGGGAGGGGGATTATTTGTTGAGGTTTTATTTATAAAATTTTTAGTTTTGTGAATAATGTTTGTGTAACTGCTTGGCCGTTTTTCCTGGTATATCTATTGCGAAGTCAAATTATATTTTTACTGGAATTCGAACACACATTAAATGAAAACTCTATAATTATTTGTTTTCGTTTATTTGTTGAAATTTTGTATTTTATTTGTTAGCCTCTCTCTCTCTCACTCTCTCCCTCTCTCTCTCTCTCTCTCTCTGTGATGGTGTGTGTGTGTGGGGTGTGTCTGGGTGTGTGTGTTGTTTAGTTTCTGGGGTTTGTTAAATGAAATCCACTTTAACGGCACTGTAATTTTAAATTGCGCTGTTAAGTATCATTCTTTATTTCTAAAAAGGTGTGTTGCTAATTTAAAGGTTTGAACTCATATTTTAAGCAAATTGGTCGACTCATGATAAACAAATCAGATATAGAGAGATGCTATTGTATAAACATATATTCTACAGACCGTTACTGATCTGTTTACCTATATTACCTTCTTGCTTTACTATACATGTATACATACACACAGGTGGTAAATCAATAAAACACGTTACTTAGTATAGTATAAAGGTACACATAATATAATAACATAAAGTTGTTCAAGATAAAACATTTCCGAAGTTAACTCGATGCAGAATATTTTTTACAGGAGACAGACCACAAAAGATTGCCTCATTAACTTTAATATTGAATTTTGTCTCTTAGTCCGACAGAGAAATGGGTAACAAATTAAGGAGAGAGAGAGAGAGAGAGAGAGAGAGAGAGAGAGAGAGAGCAAAAAAACATAATGAGCGGAGCCAGTCAGGATACCAAGTCAAAACGCAAGGTTTCAGGACTAAAGAGAGAGAGGTCATTTCGGGACTATCACATGGTTCAATTTTATATCAATAATTCGCTTGTGCGTAGGAGTCTTTAGCAGTGGAAGGAAACCGGAGGACCAGGAGAAAACCCATGAGGTTGGACAGGCGACCCTATTCCTGGTCACGTACAACCGGGGAATCGAAACCACGCCAGTTGACTCAATGGCAGACCTTATGATACAGCGTGCACGTGCTAACCATTCGGCCATCCAGCCCCCCAAGAAATTAAGGAGAAGTTACAATCTTATATAATAATGCAAACACAAGCACAAAAGCTATGTAAATCAAGATCTGACTTGTACAGAAATATTTTAAAATCATAACTTTTATAGATAAGAAAAACTACAGATGAGTGTAGAATCGACACATTGACTTAACTTCAATCTCTTAGATTAGAATGCATGGATAAAAATAATTTTTGAAATAATATTTTTAGTGGGGAGTACTTTTAATCCCAGACTCTATTATCTCCCTTTAATTCACGTGCGTTTAGACTGTAATTTTATCTGATAAATGGGTTTACATCATCCAGACTATATGAATAAAAATACGTTTTGAAATAATATTTTTAGTGGGGGTATTTTTGATCTCAGACGCTATTATCTCCCTTTAATTCTAGCATGTTGAGGCTGTAATTAACCCGAAAAAATGAGTTTAAAAATAACACCATAGCAAAACATCACCTATCATTACCTGGTGCAGCGTTTCCATATTACTTCAGTTTTCAGATGACTTAATATTTATCGCTCGTAACTAATTTATTTCACATTGCAATAATATTTTAAAAATGTGCATGATTTCAAATCCCAAACGCCCCTGGATTGATGGCTTTCTATACAGATAAAAGTACATATTATTCGTTTTCTATTGAGGATTTACTTTGTCAGGTTTAATAACTATCCTATCCAGTTTGATGTCAGGATTTTCCCTTGACGTCACATGCGTTATGTAACTTGGCTAAAGGACTAACTTGTATATACCAGGCTATACTTGTGTTGAGTTGAGTTTCTATAGCTCAGTGGAGAGGAGGTTTTGAATATGGCACTTGAGATCTATGAAGGAGGACAGATTGTAATGGCCATGATTAAAAAAAAATGCCATAGCGAAAAGAGCTGATGGCATTCATTCTTAGTGACAATTGAAATCTCTAAGTTCTAAACAAAAATCCACATACAATGTTTTTCTAAAGACAGATGGGGCTTAACATTTAAACTTTATAAACAAACCGATAAGTTACTTAAAACACAGAGAGTTAAAGTAACGATGCGTCATTTGCATTTTTCGCTAAAAAAAAAAAAAAATCCAATTTCTCACGGCATAATTCATGCTAATATGTACTTGTATTAATTATTTAAAGTTGCAATTGCAAATTTTCAAGTTATATTTTTAAAATGTATTAAAATAAAGCCTTAAAATAGATGGTATCCATAAACAGTCCTACCTTGTTAAAGACTAATCCTATTAATCCTATAATTCGCTATTGCCAGCTGAGAAATTGACAAAAATATCATTTTTAACTTCGAATTCCAACGTTGGAAAATGGCTGCACCATGTTGTCAATAGCAAAACAGGGGAGGTAATTGTGTTGTTATTGTGTTGGCGGATAGCTTATTACATTTCGAACAGCATAGATTGATGAATTCCACATATCTTTGTAAAAATCGAACGGGATTGAACCATATTTTGGACTGGTATTTATATTGCAGATTCGTCTTTCATAAAATAGTAGTTTGTAAATGTGATTCATTTAGCGCTAAAATGACGCATCGAGAAACATTCTTTAAGGACCCTTTTTTGGTAGCGATGCCATTAACAACGTGACAACGTCACATTCCCCAAACCCCATAAGCCCCAATATCAGATGTTTCCATTAAATATTTCCTTTTCAGTTTTTAAAAATGTATCTGGGAATATCATTTGTTTTGTTTGTCCTTTACTTTGTTGGTTCCATCGCTGTCTTTTGAAATATGATAATATACAACTTTTTTCTCTTTTCAGGGTACAGAGATTTTGTACACAGACCAGGGAATTTTCTTATTTTACTTCACTGTACAGACCATGATTATCAATCAATGCGTGATGCCAGTAAGTTGCTTACTGATAATATGATTTCACTTCATAACATTCATTCAGCAAATGTTTAATGGAGCTAAATACGATTAAATATTCGGTTCGAAATAGAAAGCAGAAGTCTGTTTATTTATTTTATTTTCGTTTTCGGCTGAAACTATCGAGTGTCGAACACAAAACTAGAAATATCTCAACATAGGCTGTAACGTTTGACCTACAGCTTGTAAATATATAGACAATCACAAAACAAAATTAGTAAATGAAGACTTTTAATGTTTACCCAAATCAAAGGAGTCTTGTCATTTTAACTTCAACGTGTCAGACCCATTGCATGATGAGTTAGATACCCTGTGCGTGTCAGATCCAGAGCATGAGTTGGTTTTCCCTATGCTGGTTTGAAGATGCTTTCTTTGATTCCCCGAGACACGTATGGTCCATTCTGATGGCCGATCAGTTACCATGCATCCTATAGTAAAACGTGGAGCCCCCGTGAGAATTTCTTCATTCGTCAGTGTTGGTTGAATGGATTGAAATTAAATGAAAATTTACGGTAGAACGTTTGTATAACGAACACATCGATTATCATTTTCTTATTCAAATAGTCATCACCACGTCCACGCTTCCCTTTTTTCCTAATCATTATCCTGTACTTGTTTTTATCCTGCCTTTAGCGATCTTTAGTTTATTTCCGACGCCGTCATTTCATAACAACATAATACTGCAATCAAGATAATATTTCTCATAAAAACAGAAAATCTCTAATTTAACGCTGTGGCCTGTCATTTTTAACGAGGGTAAAAATTATATTACACATACTGTCAAGGGACATAGAACATTATTTATTAATTGCATTACCCATCTTCGACAGGTTTCAGATTGAAAAAAAGCGATATAGCTCATTAAATACATCATTAAAATAACAGTAATGCTATTAGGAAAGCGCGTGGCGAAAATATACATTTATAGCATACGTAATAAACGTAAATAGATGCCATTTAATCAACAAATGAAGGTAATTTCTACTCAATTATCTCAGCTTATGTTCCTGGTGAGTCGTTAGGAAATTGGAGACTTTAATCCTCAACAGGTTGATAAGTGTATATATTACTACCCAACAAAAAAAAACAAATTGAAAGATTCGGTTTCTTGACAGTTCATGTTTTGAACAGAATCTTTAATTATCCGTTTTAGTGACATAATTTAGAAAGCAAGCCACTGGTATTTAAGTAACCTATTTTCTAAATTGACAGTTTGCAAAACCTAACTGATCAGCTGCGATGTGTTATAAAAGGTAATTCCACCAAAAACCTAACTGATAAGCTGTGTTATTAAAGGTAATACCACCAAATTAACAAATCTTTTATGTTTATATTAATATTCTGTTGAGACATAAACATGTGGTTATTAGTTCAGACGTCATTTCGTAAACAGACGCATTAGCACAACATTCCTTGCAGTTTCTCCTGATAAGTTTACTAGATAATAGTACATGTACCATGGAAATGCCTAAGCAGCCAAACACTGTACTCGACGTTAAAGTACATTGTAGTGTCTCTAGACTGTATAATGTACTTACGTATACAATTAATACTTCCGTTAGTTTTTTTTCTTTACATTTCTGTGTCCCGTCTTTATCGTACCATTGTAAGAACTGTACTTTTTGCAGTAGTGGTGGAATTTACCGCCCAGATCTGGTCAACATTATTGCGTTGGTTGACTCATAATTACCGCTAAGGAAAATATATTCTATATTATGCCGTTGGTTGACTCATAATTACCGCTAAGGAAAATATATTCTAATACAGTTTCTACCTAAAATTAGTTATATTTACACAGAAGGTTTCAAGTGTGTTACGGGGTAACGTAATACCCAGCCATGTTTTGGGGTTCTAACAGTATTATGTACTGACTTAAAAGGGCGTGCACTCTTGTTTTGGGTGTGTTTAGGGATGGGAGGTGGTGGATTAATTATAATTTTTTATTTAGAGCAACATGGAGAAGCCATTAGGGCCCCCTGAATCTAGTGTGTTGAGAGGGGGGGGGGGGGTGCACATCGACACCATCGCATCGACATGATTAATTAACGCCAAAAATGAATAATCTTCGGCGATTGTTGACAGATCTAGCCTATATGATTTGTGATCGATTCACAGTTTCTGAGACGTTCTTATAGATAATCTAACTCAATACAAGCCATGATATGATTATCAATTAATTTGAGTTTTGAAACTCTCGATTTGGGATTGTCTATAATATTGTATGATGTTATTCTATATATGTAAATATTGCATGTTATTTGTCTTATTGGTTTTAGACGAAAACACTACGTCTTGTAATACACCAAAAGCCCAGTTTTAACTATACATTTATATGATTTGGTTTATTTATAGCTATTGATGTTCTATTAGAATTAAATATAATTATGAATATGAAATTACCACAGACTTATTCTAATTAAAAGGCACTCAGCCGTGTGTTATGGAAGTCACTGAGAAAATTACGGTTATGTTTATTAATTAAGTGCAATTTACAGAATCATGAAAACTTAAAAGGCACTCAGCCATATGCTATAGAGATCATTGAGAAGATTATCGTTATATATGTTTATTAATTAAGTGTAATTTATAGAATCATGAAAAATAGTAAAACATCGACGTCATCATAGTGTAAGTATTTAAAATGTATATTGAAATGCATTGAGAGAGCAGTAGAATATTGTATAACATGACGGCAGATATTTACAAAAGGCTGATCGTTAATTGCGTTTTTCAAACTATTCTATTTCTAGTAACGAGGTCGGGTGGGGATGGTGCTGGGGTGGGGTTGTCTAAGATGCATCCATGCAGAATGGAAAGAATCCTTGATCCATGAAAACAATTTGCGCAACACGCTAAGCATTTTAACGGATACATACGAGCAGTGTATAAGTATCAATCTGCTTTACGGACATGTAACCCGTGTAGCACATCATGGATATACGTACATATTTGACAAGCAAGATGAAATGGGGGTTTAACGTCCTATTGTTCTGTTCCAACAGGGCTAATGAAGACGGGCATTCGTCATGCAGTGTGCTATGAGGAAAATTGGGTCCGAACAGCGGCGCTGTGGCCTGCTCTTATTTCAAATTCCAACTGTCAGGGGTTCTTTAACGTGCCCGCCAATGTGTACACGGGACCTCGGTTTTCGTCACATCCGAACGACTATACACTGTTCCTTTGCAGACCCCCTGTCCTACACCACTGAAAAGGGGGCGGGGGGCACGCCTAATAACCCCGATGAATTTTCTGGGCGGCCAACGCAGGGACCGAACACAGAACCGCCAGGCTAGTGAGCCAATGTCGTACTTACTCAGCCACCGTGGTTCCCGTACAGACCAATCAAATGTCTATCTTCATATTTGACCGAGTGTGGTATGGTGCTTAATGTGCCGGACCTGACAACTACTATTTCATGCACATAAAATTGACGACTATATTGTTTTATTCACTGTGCCAGAATTAATGCATTACATCATTTCTATATACCCCCCCCCCTCCCATTTGAAACACCAGGAAAGCATGTCTAAGATAGTTTTAGCTTCTATTGTTAGTCATCTGTTATTCGCATGTTTAGTATCGACGATTGATGGTTAGCAGGTACAAGGAGAGAACAAAACCATGACAGACAGCCCTTGACCTGTCGGCCATGCCATCCCTATCACGTAACTAAACCAGTTAATACCGAGAAGAGAACCAATATAAGACGATACACGGCATATTGATCGCACAGGAATCAGTTTGAATAATGTGTGTGATCGCATAACGATTCTTTATTTTCTTTGTGTGCATGGCATTGGTCGATCATACTAAAAGAAAACAACCTGCATTATATTAGAATTGTATAAATTATCGAAGGATAATTTTGCTTCAACTATTCATATGAAATCAATTGATAAAATAATGCGAGTTACTATGAAACACGAGCTGCTATGAGGGCTGGTTGAAAGGTTCTAAGTCTGAAAAGAATAAATCTATTGGTTTGAAATAAACTTTTGCCACCAACAAGTACAATCATAGACAGAAGACCTGCAACTGTAGTGTTATTATTGTCTTTGTACCACATCATCTTTCGACCCTACCCATTTTTAAATCACCAGAAATGGACAAAACTGACTATCAGACAGTCATCCAGTACCCGCACCTGAAAGGGTTAACCGCAACACAGATACATGTCGACATGGTCTCCCCTTTAGGGGATGATGCCCCTTCCTTTCCACAGTAAAGAAGTGGGCTGTGGAATTTAAGTGCGGTAGATCACGCGCTTACTGGAAGGCCATAATTCAAGAAAATATTACTCGGGTGCAGGGCATGGTGATGGCTGGTCGACAATTGACCACTCGACAAATTGCCAGTGGTATGACCATCTGTCATGAGAGGGTGAGGGTTGAGCAAATTATCGCCATAGAGTTAGGAATGACAAAAGTTTCTGCAAGGTGGACGCCAAAGCTCTTGACTGCGGATCTGAAACGTGTCGGATTCCTGGCGTCCCGTGACAATCTGCGCCGTTTTGACTCAGATCCTGATAATTGTTTGGCCAGATTTCGACCCGTCAGACTAAAAATAAAAAACAACTAACGGATCCTCAATTCCCTAGTAATGGTGGCACAATGTCAGCTGTGAATGACGATTTTAGGGTGGATGAAGAAAATGCCTTCCTCGACAAAAGTGTGTACACTCGGAAGGGGACTATGTAGAAATATAATAGGAAACCATCAACTTTCTACAGTCAGCCCTCGTATGTGTAATGATATATATCTATAGAGCTCGGAACATGATAGTCTTTAATTCCCTTAATACAATTATTCCCACGTTTAACGATTACTCTATTCTCAGACAACCGTGTGCACACGAGACTCACCACGTTAACCGGACTATAAAAAGAAATAAACTATAGATAAAGTAAGATTTATATGGCCGTCTTTTTTAACTCAACAGAAAATCGATAGTATTTCAAGCCAGCCGTAAAGTAGTAAACAAAATAAAAGACATTTCATATATAGTTTAATGATTTATGCGTTGATTCCTCTTTAGCCCCAGCGTTATGGAAAATGTTTTTTACAGTTAAACATGCATTATGCAAGAGGCAAATCTGCCTATTGCAGGTATTTCTTTGGGTCCGAAATGTTATATAAACTATTAATTACACATTTATTAACATGAATAGACAATAATCAACTCTCGAAGCTACCTTTTCTGTCCGATTTTCAATGGATTTGAATCCGATCTGCTGGTCGACGTCCGTGGATGATTAAACGCAAAAATGGATAATCGAGACTTTTTTAATTACCGTGACAGCGGTAACAAGGTGTACTGGACTTAGAAGGAAGCAATTTGACTGTAATTTTCAGCATAATCCATTTACATCATCTAGTTTTTAATTATTATAGCGAGAACTGCCAGTTCATTATTTAATCTTCCATAAAGTATCTTTAATAAATTGTGTTTTGATTTTTTGTCTTTTCAGGTCCGGGACATACAAAAACAATGATTGTAGAATTAACAGAAAAAATGAAATTTATAGAAGACAAATTTGGTCAACTAATGAACCATGCTGGGGTGGGTTGATTATAACTTCTACAGTAGTTTATTTGATGATATGTCATCAACTTTCTTTTTATTCTTAAACTATATGGAGAATTTGTAATAAATGTCCGCATCTCTTGTGTGTGAGAGAGAGAGAGAGAGGGAGAGAGAAATGGGGTTTAACGTCCACTTGACACAAACTAGGTCATTTCGGGACTAACATATGGTTTAATTTTATTTCAATAATTCGCTTGCGCCTAGGGGTCTTTAGCAGTGGGAGGAAACCGAAGGACCCGGAGAAAACCCACACATTTCAGGTCTCCCGAATCATAACACTGCAGGTTCTAGTCCTGAAACTCCAACCTCGTGGGTTTTCTCCGGGTCCTCCGGTTTCCTCCCACTGCTAAAGACCCCTACGCGCAAAGGAATTATTGAAATAAAATTAAACCATATGTTAGTCCCGAAATGACCTAGTTTGTGTTGAGTGGACGTTAAACCCCATTTCTCTCTCTCTCTCTCTCTTTAGTCCTGAAACCTTGCGTTTTGACTTGGTATCCTGACTGGCTCCGCTCATTATGTTTTTTTGCCAGAAAAAGTGACCTTTTCAAGTAAAATAGCAGTCATACATAATTTACAACCACATAATCGACAGTAGAGCGTAGACCTTAATAATAAGTAGGCCCCTAAAACAACAAAACTTATAGGAATAAAACTCAATTAAAGATTTGTTTTAATAATAAACATTTACTGAAAAGCTTCTAGTACTAGTAGCGGAACCAAATAGGTACATAACATATTTTTTCACTCGATCCTTAAGCACAAGAAATCGTGTTGAACCGTGTAACGACCCAAACCACGACATCGCCGCTGATACCACACTGATCCGCAGTGAATATTCGCTTGGCCGCTACAATCACTGATAAGGATGACATCGATGCGACTTAATGACTACAAAATATTAACTTTTTTCTTTCGACAAATTAAATTCTGAAACATTTTTTTTTAGTATTAGAAAAATAAATAAAGGTGTTTGAAGTATATCTTGATAAAAAATATTCCATATTTAGCGTAAATAGGTACAGAAAATAGTACGCGGAGGCGTAAAATGGGTAAAACGATATAATTTTGCCCGTACCAGTTCATATTACTACGTTCAATGTAAACAACGCACGTGTGACCATCAATTTGACGTTTTTTTCTGTTTGTCTACTCTGAATTCTTTCAGAAGTACATTTTTTACCGTCTAATCTGATTGACCTGCTCGTGTTTGTTTTAAAACAACAAAAACAAGCCACAGAAGTAATCTTTTTTGGCGTTATCGATGCCATCTTGCTTTGTTGGTAAACATTGTGATGTGACGTCACCCTTAGAACTACAGCGGTCTGAACTTTTAAAGGTCAGTCATCTTGGACAGAGATAAAAGACGGATGTCGCATTAGGACTGTAAAACAGATTGCGCTGATACATGTACATTTCTCTTCTATATAGATCAATGTAGTTAGCGAACATTTATTTTGCCAGGTCTTTTCATATTCTTTTTCTATTGACAGATATCTGGTAGAATTCAGCGGGGAAGTGGTAAACCAGGGGAGGCTATCATTAAAGCAGCTAATGACGAAGGGGCTAGTATGATTGTTACTGGAACACGTGGTCATGGGAAGATCAAGCGGACATTCCTGGGAAGCGTCAGCGATTACGTTGTTCATCACTCTCCCGTTCCAGTTATTATTTGTAGAAAACACTAAGACGCGATCGCAAATTCAAGGAAACAGCAGAAAGACCATGATTATTATTATTCGTTAGAAAAACACAATTATATGCATACACCATGTTTGTTGTAAACACTGCCATATTATCAAAATTAGTGTTAAGAGATATTGTTCCTGGCATGCAATTTACTTAAAATGAAGTTAATTATTATGTCTATGATCTTGTGTGAAATTCTAGGGACTGTAGACGTGGTTTTTTCCGCTTTCTGGAATTCTACAGGTGTACTTTTGTTTGTTGTCCCATCCGAATGACTAGCCAGCTCTTTCCTTGTCACACCACTTCCGCCGCTCCCGACAATGGGAGAGTGGTAATGGAAAATCCAAAGCTTCCTTACTTTGATATAAAAAGCCTACGCCCGAATATTGCGGAAATATTGTACTCTTTAATTAGCACAAAGGTCATTGGAATTAGCACTTTTCTTACAGCATAGATGTTACTAGTCTAAATAAAATGATACCAATATTTAGACACGTCATTGGATATTTTTCAGTTGGTTACTCCACTTCGTCTTATTCTAAAGACATTTCATTAAGGTGTGTGTTCAGAAATGCGTAGATTGTGATTTGTTTACACCAACTAATCCTACCATTCAAAACCTTTTAAAGGCTTTGATTTTCAAGACATTTGATTGGCTGGTAAATCAAGATCAAGAGAAAGCCTATTATGTATGCTCTCATCACTGGCACAGAATGTGCTTATCTTAATAAATATGCCTTAAGATGTTAATATAGTGTCCATCCCACTGAACAGAACGAAAATAATACCCAGTTTTAGTTAGAATTATATTCGCTGTCATTTAAGTGTGGCTTCGAAACAGGTGAAAACCCTAGCATTAAAACAATAGGTGAATGCAAGTATATTGAAAAGGGCTTGGTATACTTAAACATACTATACAAAAGCTCTGTGTTTAGTTATATTGGCTAACTCAGATGAAATGATTATTGATATAACTGCTATATATATTGTGAAATTATAATATTTATATTTGTTGTCCCGTCATCATTGTAAAATATTGATTGTCTACAGTTCATATAAACCCTTATATTGTGCAATCCTATTACCTGTAGTGAACTATAGAAAAAAAAGCTGATTGGCTTGAAGACAGGCTGTGATTTTAATGTGCATTATTATATTGCTAAAATATTAACTTCGCTGTCATTATCTCTGACTTCCAACATTAATTATCAACGTATTCCGGATGGTATAAAGTTACGTTCCTGCTCTATCAGGATGTGAAAGTATATAGATACCTGTGTTGGAAAGTGTTCTCCTTATATTTTTTAACAAGTACGACCATAATTAACCAGGAACCGAGAGTGGCGTCATATCAAAAATCGATCGATGGAACAAGCATGCAAAGTTTCATATCGATCGCAATTCAATTGGCGGATGCGTAAGCTTTTTCGAAGACCGTTGCTACCAAGTAGAAGAACTACAAGATGAATAGCTCTTGGGTACTCGTTCCTGGTCCAAAAAGTTGCTAAGGGGATACGCTGTGTTACAAAACAGCATATTAACGGGCTGAATTCCTTATTAACAAATACCCAGATGGTAAATTTAGCTTCCATTTGGCTGCTATTCGATCAACATTACATAGAAAGTGGACAAAATAGGTTTTTCCTCCATAAGACGGCTCAATTACCAATACTGAAACTTTAATCATTTTTACAATTGTATAGAAATCTGGTAGGTGCTTTATAACAAGACACGCATGTACATATTATGCCTTTAATAAAAGAAGCGCCAAAGTTTTTGTCGTATCTATAAGAACACAAGGGGGAGGGAGGGGGCGGTGAATTTGGTATTAAATTATAGTTCACTGCTTGCGAAACCCAACATCACGGCACTACAGTTCTTGGTGAATTGGGGTCCAGTATTAATAGACAACTGCGGTGTAATACTTATACCTCTTTGTGTGAAATTGGTTGGCTTTTGCGATCTGCGCGTCTTTGGGAAATTACGATTAAAATATTCACTGTGACCCGTATAGAAAGAATTCGGAATAAGGACTATGTTCAGAAGTCATTTTAGTGAACTGATGAAACTTTAAATCGGTATTGCAGGCATTCCGAGCTTCCAGAAATCAAACCTGATATTTGGAATTAAAGACTCACGAGCTTTGGCAAACATTTTATTCCATCGTCTAGCAAACTTGTCTGATAGCTATGGATAGGTAAACACTCATACTAAGATCAAACAGCTTATTCAATTCGTATACCCCAGTTGTCTTAAACATCCTCCCCGTTCGAATCATCTCATTGTATGAGAAGAATTGGGCATTATCAACAGTTGACATTTTGTGATATTTGAGCAATGTAGATAGACGCCGCCATAGTCATCTAAACCTAAGCAATTGATCTATTTGTCAAATAACCATTATACGCGGAATGTAAGGGTGAATGTGGAGAGGGCAGAAGTGCAACGGAGAATAAGGTTCAGAATGGAAAGTTTCTGGATTCCCGTTTAACATGGAAGAACATGTCGGACTACTGGGTCAAAATACAAGTGAATAGAAGAGCATATTTTTGTATAATATTTCCATGACAGCCCAGGATATACTATTTCGTAATCACGAAATAAAGTAAGGTTATTTCGGGAATGCAGATATACTGCAATTTCTTTTTACAATTATGAAACTAAAAGCCGAGAAAATGATACCAATTCCTATTTATCTATCCGATAAAAGGATATACACATCACGTAGTACACGTGCTGGTGTTCTTAATTATTTCCCTTGAGAGGCCAGTTTCTGCAATATATACATGCAGCCATTATTTTGTTTCAGATTTTACGTGTTATATTAATTTTCACTCTAAACTATCTAACAGTACCCAGATATACAGCTGAGTTGTGTCTAATATTTTATTTAAAACACTTACTCAAAGACAGCAAGACAACAGTTGAGGCCCACTTCCAAAATATACTTTTTACAAAGCACGGGGCAACCAAATTAATTATAACTCCCTTTAATCAAAGCAGGAATTGCTCATTATCGAATTTTGTCAAATTATTGATGTCATGAAGCTTAACACCAAGTTCTTAGTTTAGGCTAAGCGGAAAATGTTCGCCATCACAATCAGTGAAGGCATTCACAATCAGATTTTTCGGGAAGAAAGGTAAAGAGATATATTCTGGGGGGGGGGGGGGGTGATAAGCATTATGCATTCTAGTCGGAGAAATAAAATGCCCGGAATCCCATGACTGAGATTTTGGTCTGAAGCAATTGTGCATTGTGAGACAGTTTTCGGCCACCGGTCATTATTTTTGTGGTTATTGAAAGAGTTATTGCGTCTCAAATTTCGAAGTATCTGTCTAAAAATGATTTACACGAATCGTTCAATCAGCTTACAAACGAGGTTATAGCACAGAGACGGCTCTACTTTAAATTAAAAACTAGCTGTGCACCTAGTACTTTCGGATCTCAGTGCTCCTTTGATACTATAGATCATAGTATTCTGTTTCAAAGGCTGGAATGTTCAGTTTGAATCTGTAGTGCCACACTGTCATGGATAAAGTCATATCTTCAAGATAGAACACAACAGGTGCAAATAAATAGGTCCGTGTTTCAACCCTGTGATGTTACAATAGGCGTTCCACAAGGATCTGTATTGTGACTCCTACCTTTTCTCCTATACATTCTTCCAATTGGTTACATCACCAGAAGACATGGGATACAAAACCACGGCTTTGCTGGCGACACCCAAATATATGACTATTTTCAGTACAACAAATATCTTGCTTCCAAGGATTCTATTAGTAGACTAGAGACTTGTTTTAAAGACATTCGATGATGGATGACCAGAAAGAAGCTAAAACTTAACGATGACAAATCCGAATTTCTTGTCATATCATCAAAATCACAATCCAGTAAATTGATTAAAGCGGATACTATTCAGATCTAAAGAAGCGGACTAAGAATCTTAGTAATGTCACCGATGAATTTATGTCCCCAGTTCCCCAAATCAATAATAATATACGGAGAATGCATCTTCAAATGAGAGCTATTTCGAGGATACGCCCCTAATCGCAATACTGGTACCCGCCAAAGTGTTGTTAGAGCACTAGTAACATCTTAATAGCACAAAACAATGCTACACGTCTCATAACAAGAACACGAAAACATGATCATATATCAGATAAGTTACAGAAACTCCACTGGTTTCCAATTCGAGCGAGGGTTCAATTTAATTTAAAGCTCTTGTGAATGTGTTTAAATCAATTTATTCTGAAACTGCACCCAAATCTTTAACAGAACTCTTTGATTTGTGCATATCGAGAATTCCGAAATTTAATAAGCATTCTGGTGAATAAGCTTTCTCTGTCAGAGTAGCTAAAATGTGGAATGATCTTTCCCCAAAAAAAACCGTGAGTCCTCTTCCATCCAGAGCTTTAGAACTAACTTTAAAACACATTTATTCCATGGTTTTGAACTGTTTTTTGTAAATGCGCTTAGAAACACTGATGTGTAATGAAGCGCTATATCAATTGAACAATAATTATAAATTTTTCTGGAATCGAAATTTCTTTAAATTGACTAATGGATAAAGCATTTAAAATCAATGCGATAAACAGTGTCTAGTTTTTTGGGACTCATCATTTGTTTAAAGTCTCTAACTCAGTATCATCCAAAGTCTTCGACATTGAAAACACGAATTATTTGTCAATTTAAATCAAGATTGACGTTGTGATCTTTCCGGGAAAGGATGGGCTTCTGATATCCAATATTTCAGACAAAACAAACATTTGTAAAATCATACTCGAAGAACGAGGCTAGACATTTTCCACAAATCATGTTATCTGGAGAGCATGCGCAATAAATGCTATCGATGTAGACTGGAATAACTAGACACTAGAGATTGCCATTGGATTGATACTTCTGGCTTATTTCGCCGAACATAAATGATTTCAAATTAGAGTAAA